GATCACTCCCTGCCTCCTCAGGTTTACCCGAAAGTGCATGGGTGAAATTGCCAGAGTGACCTACAACCAGATGCTCCTACAGTCGCCTACCCACCAAACTGACACCCAAACCACCCTCCTCCTCCCAGTGCCCCTAGCAGCAGGAAGTAGCCAGATGAAAGTCACTGCCCTATATCACCAAAAAGGCCGAGATGTTAGGTCGATGGAGGTGGCTCAGGAACAAAGCACCAAGCAACCCGCATACGAAAGAAACACCAATCAGGCACTGATGGAACTGCCTGTCAATCAGCGGGGTCTCCTGGCCAATCCTGGATCTTAGCCAGCTATCCCCAACCAACCCCAGTAGGATAAGGGACTCTAAAAACCCCTTTTCCTGTCCCAAGCCCTCCTTTCTGCCCTAAGCCCAATAAAATTCCAGTCCTGTCCAGCTCCGGAACACTTCTTCGTGGACCCACTCTGCTGGTGTAAGGGTCCTGCCCAGGAGTGAAATCTCAATAAAGCCTCCTTCAGCGGCCTTTTAAATTCTGCCTCCTTTTGGTCACCGCTGCCTGACCTTATAGTTATTACTACCATCATATATATATATATATATATATATATATATATATATATATATACACATACACACACATACATACACACACACACTTTTCCTTTTTCCTTTAAAAGTATCATCTTGTCTCAACCTCCCCAGATCTGCCCATTAGCCATTATGGCATGCATATCCTGGATTCTAATTCCCTGTTCCTCCAGAAAGTCTCCCTGTTAGGTAGGTTGACAGCCCCCACAGTGCAACTGTGATGCTAAAGGAGAGGAAATTCCCTCCCTTCTGGGGTGCATGCCTGTAATCCCAGTGGCTTGGGAGGCTGAGGCAGGAGGATCATGAGTTCAAAGCCAGCCTCAGCAATGGTATGCACTACGCAACTCAGTGAGACCCTGTCTCTAAATAATACACAAAATAGGGCTGGGGGTGTGGCTCAGTGGTCAAGTGTCCCTGAGTTCAATCCCTGGTACACACCCTCACCCCCCAAAAAAAATTCACTTGGCCATGCATGTTGGGGCTTCTTTGTGGGGTCTCTATTCTGGCCCATTGGCTTACATGTTTGTCTTTGTGCCAGTACCATGCTGTGCTAACTATTGTAACTTTTTGTAGGTTGAGCATCCCTAATCTGAAAATCTGAAATCTTCCAAAGATTGTTGAGTGCTTTTGTGATGCCACAAATGAAAAAATCTACACCACAAAACTTTGTTTCATGCATAAAATTATTGTGTAAATTGACCTTTAGGCTATGTGTTCATACATGATGCATATGAGACATAAATGAAGTTCTTGTTCGGACCTGGGTCCCATCTCTGAGATATTTCATTGCGCATAAGCAAGTATTCCAAAATCCAGAACCATCTGAAATCTATAGTATTTTTGGTTCCAAGTATTTTGGATAAGGGATAAGGAGCCTGACGTAAATTTTGAAATGAGGAAATACAAGTTCTTCAGCTTTGTTTTTTCTTTCTACCTCACTCCCCAAGATTGTTTGGGCTGTGGAGTTCCTTAAGATCACATCTGGGGCTGGGGATATAGCTTAGTTAGTAGAGTGCTTGCCTCAAATACACAAGGCCCTGGGTTCAATCCCCAGCATCATAAATTGAAAAAAACAAAAAAAACCAAAACACATCTGAATCACACTAGTGACATCTTAATATTGTCTTTCCAGTCAATAGACATTAGATGTGTTCCCATTTATTTATATCCTTTTAACTTCTTTCAGCAATGTTTGTAGTTTTAATTGTATAAGTCTTTTACCTTCTTCTTTTTTATTTGTTTTAGTTGTAAGTGGACACAATAACCTTTATTTTATTTTTATGTGGTGCTAAGAATTGAACCCAGTGCCTCACGCATGCTAGGCAAGCACTCTACCGCTGAGCCACAACTGCAGCCCCCTTTTTACCTTCTTAATTCCTAAGTATTTATTTTTTTTTTGATGCTATTGTAAATGGAATCATATTTTTGTAATTTCCTATTCAGGTTGTTCATTGTTAGTATATAAAAATGCAGTCCAGGGCTAGGTTGTATCTCAGTGGTAGAGCACTCGTCTAGCATGGGCAAGGCCCTGTGTTCGATCCTTAGCACTACATAAAAATAAATAAATTAAAGATACTGTGTCCAACTACAACTAAAAAATAAATATTAAAAAAATGCAGTCCATTTTTGTTTGTTGCTACCTTGAAAAAATTTATTTATTAGTGCTACCAACTTTTTTCAAATGGAATTTTTAGGATTTTCTACATATATCATAGTATCTATAACCGGAGTTAATTTTACTGCTCTCCCCCCCATTTTGGATGCCTTTTCTTTTTCTTGCCTAATTGCTTTGGCAAGAACTCCCAGCAGCTGAATAGAAGTGTTGGAAATGTGCACCCTTTTCACTTTCTGATCTTATAGGAACAGCTTTTAGTTATTAACCAGTGAGGATGTCGTCTGTTTTTTGTTGTTGTTGTTGTTTTGTTATGTTTTGTGGTGCTGGGGATTAAACCCAGGGCCTTGTGCATGCGAGGCAAGCACCCAGCCCTTTTTCTGTGGGTTTCTGTATATGACTTCATTATGTTGAAGTTGTTTCCTTTTATTCTTAGTTTATTTCTATTGTAAAAAGGTTTTGAAATTTGCCAAATGCTCTTTTTCTGTGATAAGATGATCATGTGTTTTTTTCTTTCATTCTGTTAGTGTGGTATGTTATACTGACCAATTTTTTTTTGGTTGAGCCACCCCTGGATTCCAGAAATAAACCCCATGTGGTCATGGTGACTCATCTTTTAGCATGCTAAATTTGGCTTGTTAGTATTTTGAGGATTTTTGTGTCAATTTTCATAAAGAATACTGGACTATTCTTTTTTTTTTTGGTATGGGCTTTATATGAGAGCAATGGTAGCATTACAAAATATGTTATTATTTCCTACTCTTCAGTTTAAAAAAAAACAAAAACTGAGAAGCATAGTCATTAGCCTTTTAAATGTTTGGAAGAATTCACAGGCTAATATATCAGGTCCAAAACTTTTACCTGGAGATTTTTTTTTAATATTTATTTTTTAGTTGTAGTTGGACACAATACCTTTTTTAAATTTATTTTTATATGGTGCTGAATCAAGCCCAGGGTCTTGCACGTTCTAGGTGAACACTCTACAGCTGAGCCACAACCCCTGCCCTATCTGGAGATTTTTGATTACTGATTTCATCTCCTAACTAGTTATAGTTCTATCATATGTATATTTCTTTGTGACTTACGTCTTCATAGGTTTTGTCTTTCTAGGAATTTGTCCAATTCGTCTATTATCTAATTCATTGACATACAATTGCTCATAATACTGCCTCATATTCCTTTTTATTTCTGTAGAATCTGTAGTCTCCACATTTATTACTAATTTTAGTCTTCTCCCTCCTGCCCCCACCAGCGTAAAGGATTAACACTTTGGTTGATCTTTTCAAAGAACCAACTTTTGGTTTCATTGATGTTCTCTAACATTTTTCTATTCTCTAATATCTCTGTTCTAATCTTTATTTCCTTTCTCTAATTTTGACCCAGTTTCTTTTTTCTGGTTCCTTAATTTGTAAAGTTAGGTTGCTTTAAGTGTTTATGGCTATAAATTTCCCTCTTACCACTATTTTTGTGCATCATATCAATTTTGGTATGTTTGTATTAATTTTCATTCATCTCCAAGTATTTTCTAATTTCCCTTGTGATTTCTTCCTTGATCCATTGGTTAAGAGTGTGTTTTCGGGGCTTAGCAGTAGAGTACTCACCTAGCATGTGTAGGGTCCTGGGTTCGATCCTCAGCACCACATAAAAAAAAGTAAAATAAAGATATTGTGTCCAACTACAACTAAAAAATAAATATTAAAAAGAGCATGTTCTTTAATTTTTCACAAGTCTGTGAATTTTCCAGTCTTATGTTATCGATTTCTCACTTTATACCATGTTGTCAAGTAAAAGACTTTGTTAACTTTTTAAATCTATTGAGACTTAATTTTGTGGTCTATCCTACGATCTGTCCTGGAAAACATTCGCATCTCCACCCCATCTCCCTCCCTCTCTCTCCATCCCTTAGCACTATCTTTTAATTTTTTTTTTTTTTAGTTGTAGATGGACACAATATCTTTATTGTATTTATTTATTTTTGTATGTGGTGCTAGGATCGAACCCAGTGCCTCACACATGCGAGGCGAGCGCTCAGCCACTGAGCTACAACCCCAGCCCAGCACTATCTTTTGAACACCTTAGGAGCTCAATAAATATCTGGCTAGTAAATTCCCTGACTTCAGATAAGAAGGAGGTCAAAGCCGAGACTTGGACTGGCTGGCCCACAGCTGTGTGATCTCAGGTGACTACCTTACCTTCTTTTACCTGTTTGCCCAGCGGAAATATCACAATGCCTACTTGAAGGCACTGTCATGAGGATTAGATTAAGGGATAACTACACTCAGTGAACAACTCCCCAGCTCAGAGTGGGGGCCCCACATATGATGGTTCCTCCACTCCTCTACCCATTCTCCTTGAGCCAAGCTTCCAAGCACCTCTCTGAACACAAAGGCTGCTGCCCTCATCCAAGGCTTCTATAAGGCAAAGGGCACCTAAGCCCCGGGGAGACGTACCAGGTCCAGGTTGCTTGAGAGCTTCTTCACTGTGGGGTTGGGTGATTCTCCTTGTGCATCAGGGACCTCAACACCTCCCTCTCCAGAGACACCTGCCCTTGAGGTCCAAGCATAAAGGAGCTCCTTGATGTGTGAGGTGTTTAAACACCCCTGACCCTTCCATTCCTGTCACCCTATGCCATCATACGAGAGGTCCCCAACTCTCATCTGGAACTGATGAAAGCACACAGGAGCCCCAGGATTCCTTGTATAACTTTACTCACAAACTGCAAATCTGTAGGCCTGGCTCAGCACGGAGGGTGTGTTCTTACCAGTGGCAAAACAAAAACAGGAAAAATCAAAACGTGGAGACAGCACATTTGTTAATACTAACCATTTTAATTTAAATTAATAGCATTTCTGGAAGACAAACGCAATTGATAGGAAAATATAAAAACTTTTACTGTACAAATTTTACATCACATTCAAAAAAAAAAGTAAAATGTGTGCCTCGTGGCCATGGAAGACGCCAGGTGCATACATACTGATGACATCCTGAGCAACGCTGTGTCCCCAAGTCATTCCACAACAACAGCCTGAGAGGGCTTTTCACTCCCTTCAGGGACCACAGGAAGAAATGCCAGGAGATGGCACAGGGTGTTTTGATTTGGTGACATGGAGAGGTCAACTTTGCTACATGCTGCTCAGGACTAGCCAGGATTCAAGCTTTGAGTCACAAAGAAACCCAGGGAGACTAGAGACTGGTGGTTAAAGGCCTCAGAGGCGAGGCTGGGAACTAGGGGTGTCTGGAAGGGCCAAAGTTTCTTGGGCTCCATTCTTAGACCCCAGTGGGGACCTCTGCAGCCCCAGGGAGCCCTCGGCCTTCTCCATCCCTTTCACAGTGGGCCATGAGCACTGAATTCACAGTATCTGTCATCCTTCATGCGTTTCCAAGGCAGACGGGGAGGGCACACAGAAGGGTGAGCTCGTCTTCCTAACCTCAATTCACAGTCACTTAAATAATAAAAGGGAGAAGGGGGACCATTGTGGAGGATTTTCCTAAATGACAGGCAGTACAGAGGGGGCTGGCAGAGAGCCAGAGGCTGTCCAGGCCTTGGTGGGGAAGGGGAGGGCCCCCGGCACCTTAGCCCTACCATCAGGGCCAAGAGGCTTCTGGGTTCCTGGTGAATACCAGGCTCCCGGAAGATGTTCAGTTCCTTAAGACAGGGACTGTGGCTGTTCCTACCTCTGGGTCCCCAGCACTTGCACAAGTCCACGAGGGAGCCCCCTGAACCTTGACATTCACGAGACAAATGGAGATTGATTTTCTGAGGGCGATGGGGAGGAGCTAAGCCTGACACACCCAGCTGCCCACCAGCCCTTGGCAGCACAGGGTTGGGGGGGTCTACAGTCCCCTCTGGGGTGCTGTAGGTATGCTGCAGCCACAGAGGCAGCGGCCACATGGCTTTGAAGTAGGGAAGTCACAGGGAGGCAGACACAATGACAGGGCTGACCCCAACTGGCCTACAGTTCCTCCTTCTCCTGCCCAGAATGACCAAAAAAGGTAAGGATGTCACAGTCCCACCGTACCCTGCACCGCTGTACTGTCACATACCCGCAAAGAGGGTGGAGCGGAGGGCCTGGAGAGAGGGAGGCAGTTTCCCAGCTTCTGGAGCAGAGTGGCCTGTCCTATATGACATTAGGACCTGACTCTGGTGCTAGGGAAGGCTCTGAAGACTGGGCGCTCTGCTAGGTGCCTCCATCTGAGCTCAGAGCTTAGCACAGGTTCCAGGCCTCAATCCCGTCGCATCTCCACTCCATCTCCCTCCGTCTCTCCTTTGTCTGTGCAGCCCCCTGTGACCGAACCTCCACTTAACGGCCTCTTTGCCATTGAGCATTTTTCTTTGTGACAGTTTTACAGAGAACAGGTGGGGGTCAATCACATCAAAGGCATTCCCAAATCCAGTCCCTCCACCCCTCCGCCGCTGGTTTGAATGGACACAAGCAAAAGGCCTGATGTTGCCAGAGAGGGTTCTGCAGATGTGGGGGCTTCCTGGGGGTCTAACTGGAAAGGCTGGACCACCTCATGCCCCCGTCTCAGCTCTGAGCATGGAGAGAGGAGTCGGGGATGGGTGAAGGGGTTTCAATAGGGTTGGGGAGGTGGAAGAGGCAGGCAGTTCTGAAACCTTCTAGTAAAACAGATGGGATGGGTTTCTAAAGTGCCAGGATCACCCTGTGGCCAGAAAGCGGGGCTCAGGCCCCCGCTGGCTGTCTCTTTCCCCCTCCCTTTACCATATTCCTTGTTCTGACTCACCAACTCCCCGTGACATGTGCAGCTACCAGGCTGGCCCTAGCCCTGGGGTCAGATGTCAGTCACACATTCGGATATGTCTAAAAACACAAGTACTTGTCTGGGGACTTCAAGAAACACATTTCCACAGTGTGTGGACAGTTCTTCTCCACGAAGCAGAAACCCTGGCTAGGAACCACCCAGATGCTGTTTGGATTCTGCCTTTACTTTTGCAAAAGAAACACCCTGGATTAGAGGGAGTCACAGGGTCTATCCAAGTTCTTCAGGGAATCCTGACACTTGTAAATCCAGCTTGGTTCCCAGCCAGGGTTTCCTCTGCAAAATGAGGAAGGGATAATGTCCCTTTGATAGGACAAAGGGGGAATCCCAAATGGAGACTCCCTATGGATGGGTGTTAGGGCCAAGGCAGAGGCCAGGTCACGCCATGGGCCGCCTCCCGGAGAACAGCCATAATCACGTTGCTTTTCTTCTTCTGGCCCAGCCCTGGGCCCCTCACTGTTACAAGTCCTCCAGAAGGGGCAGCCACTTCCGCCATCCCAAGGTGCCAGCGCCCCTACACATGGACTGTTTATTATTACCTATTGTAAAACATCAAGTCCGCTCCGCAGAGACGTATGTGTAAACATTCGCTGTCAGTCAGACAGATCTGGTTGTTGGTGGCGTCATCTCAAATGGCAGGTGTGTGGCTCCATCTCCAGGACCCACGCGTCTTGGTGACGAACAGTCTGAATGGAGGACTCGTGTTCCTCGTGTGCAGCGCTGGGCAGGTGGAGTGTTTTAATTTTTAATTATTTATTTCTGTCGTGGTGGTTGTTGGTGTGTTTTAGAAACACATTTGCAAAAGAAAGAAATGGGTGGTCGAAAAACCGCACGGCCGGCTACATCTTTGGATTACTGGACTCCAGGGCGCCCAAGCCGAACCTTTCAAAGCGGGGTACAACTTTGCTGCTGTTAATGCTGCGAAGAGGAACAAAAACACGGGTTACGGCCTGCTGGTCTTGTCCAACATTGGGGTGGTTAAGGAACAGGTTAGTTCCAGAAGCTTAGCAGAGGACCCAGCCCCCACCAAGGAGTGACAATGACTTCTCAGCCCATAGCCTTGGCAGAGCTGCCCCTGGTCCCCCAAGTCCTGGGCCTCGGCCACACTTCCCTCCTGGGGGTAGTGACGTGGTTCATGCACCTCTGACTCCCTGGTACCTGGGGTGCACCGTAACCACTGTGGGCTCATTCGAACAGCTCCTCACTGGCTTCCCGAGAACACCCTTGATCCACGCAGAATTGGGAAAGAAGAGAGACCTAAGCCCCAGCACCAGGAGTGACACACAAGCTCCTTCTACAAATGGTGACCAAATGTTGGGTCCACTAGGGCCACCTGGGAGGCAGACTGAGGTGAAGGCTCCCAGAGGCCCATTCCAGAGATCCAAAATGAGCCGCCTTGCACAGAGGGTGGGGGCCATCTGCATTCAGTGAGCAGCACAGTGGCCCGTCTTCCCCACCCCGACGAATGCTGACTTGGGGTCCATCTATACAGCCCCCCGCAGATGTGAAGGGAGAAGAGTGGGGTTGGGCTGGGGAAGCAGCTTTGTTTCGGGTAGTGGAGTTGTTTGGAGACAGGCTCCGCTCTGCTTTAGGACAACGTTTCTGAGTGTGTTGCTGAGGACCCAGCCCTTCGGAGCAGGAGTCTGTCAAGGCAACAGGACTTTTGAGTGTCTACTGCCCCAAGTCTACAGAAGTCACAGGAACCCAGAGAGGACTCCTTGGCGCTGGTCTTAGGGCAGCTCTGAAGTCATTCCACTCCTTGTAGGACAGGATCCTCACGGGTTAGAAGCCAAGCACCCCGCCGCCCCTGTGCTCTGACCAGTCAGCAGGAGGCTCATTCAGGTGTTAGAAGAGAACAGGGCCACCCGACAGACAGAAGCAAGTCAGCCCTCTGAAGGACAAGAGGAGGAGTCATCACGTCCAAGAGAGCGGCTAGAAGCTGCTGGGCCGCCCCGAGGGGGGAGCCGGGTTAGTGAGATCCTCAATCCTCGCCAACAGTTACCCAGGCACACACAGGCCACGTGGAAAGGGAAGGGGGCTGGTTTTAAAAACAAACAGAGCCAAGTCTGGAGAGAGAAGTTGGAGCAGCAGAGATGGTATCCCCTGGGTTAGTGCCCGCTGGGCGTTTTGAGTGTTAGCAGAAGTGTCGCAGAGCCCAGCGGTCGATTAGGAGGAAGGAAGCCCTGGGCATGCAAGTCAGCCAGGCCTACAACCTAGAGGACAGAGAAGAGGGAGAGCAGGTCAGAACCAGAGCCCACAGGGAGCTGACCCCCAGGGCAGCTGGACAGGGGATCCTCCTCCCTGCAGAGAAAGGGACCCCTCTAACTCCATCCCTCAGGCCGGCAGCAGGGTAAGCCTGGAAGGGACCCTGGCCACAAGGAGCCTTTCCTCAACTGTCCCAGGGCCCGGTCCCAGGCCAGGTCCATAGAGGCTTCTTAGCCCTTGACTATCAAAACTGACACCTTGGCATTGACCACTTCCGCTCACTGGATTCCCTTTTGTTGACCTCTGGCCAGAGGAGGGGCCCTGGGAGCTGAGGTCAATGATCCAAGCTCTCTCCCACCCAGGGACAGGCCATGTGCAGTGGGGCTCTCTCTTCCACTGGGAGAAACAAGTCTGCAGGGCCCTGGATGGAGGCCATTTCAGCTGCAGGATGTCACTTTGGATTATGGGGACACAACGACACGGTTAGGAGAAGCCTAGATGCAGAAGGCCGGATGCAGAGACAGGAAGAAGGGGTACAAAGGGGCAGCCACACACAGGCGGGGACCGAGAGAAACGATAGCAACACACTATTCCTCCAGAACTGGACAGGAGTTCTTAAAGTCAGGGTGGCCGTAACGTCCTTTCCCGTAGTAGCGGCTCCGCCAGCGGCTGGGAGTGCCCACGGCCATTCACCAGGAGTGGGGAGAGCGCGGTCCAGCCCAGCACGGATGGCAGACAGGAGGAGGAGTCAGGATGGCAGGACAGAGGGAGAGGCCAGGACCGGCCAGCACATCCGCCACCCCCCCAAAATAAAAAAGCAACATGGCCAATGGGAAAGAAGAGAGAGAATGAGAATTAGAGGCTGTGCGTGCAGAGTGGACATGGTGAACAGGAAGCTCGGACAGCTCATTGGGGTGCTGGACCTCCCCTTCTGAGGGCTGGAATTCATAGCTTTGGGCAAGCTAAGTTTCCCCCTTTGTGATTCAGTTTCCCATCTGTGATATGAAAAGGGGGAGCGATCTGCTTTTCAGGGAATAAGAACCACCCCCTGAATGCCAGTGCCCACCTAGTTAGCCTTCTGTGCCATGGAGGAGAAAGCCAGGGCCCGGGCTGGGCAGAGAGGCCCCAGGTCTGAAGGAGCAGATCAGAGCTCCACCCTGCCTGCAGCTTCTCCAGGGACTAGGTGGAGGCAGGGTCTGGGGGCCAGGGCAGCCTTGACAGGGGGGTTAGCCACCAGGTTCTTGCCCTCTACTCCCCATCTAGGGTGGCTCCCATCTATTATTTATTTATTTATTTATTTATTTATTTATTTTATGTTTGTTTGGGTTTTTTGGTACCAGGGATTGAACTCAGGGGCACTCAGCCACTGAGCCACATCCCCAGCCCTATTTTGTATTTTATTTAGAGACAGGGCCTCACAGAGTTGCTTAGCACCTCGCTTTTGCTGAGGCTGGCTTTGAACCTGCAATTACGTGTTTTAAATATTGGGGCTCTGTGGAAGGGTTCACTTTTAGCAAGTGTCCTTGGCCTTAAAAAGGTCTAAAGCTATTCATCTCAATCCAGGGGCCCATCCTGGGTGTCAACTATGGCCTGCCACCTGTTTCTATATAATCCACCCACCAAGGAAGATTTTGATTTTTCTAATGGTTGGTTGAAGGGGAAAAAAAAGAATATTTCACAGTGTATGAAAATGACATAAACTCAGATTTCCATGATCAAGAGAGGCTGGCCCACAGCTAGCTGGCTGTCCTCAGTCTTGACCGTGGGGGGTCCTGCCCTAGAGTCGTGGTGACAGAGATGCTCTGCATACTGTGAATGCCAATGTCAGGTCAGAATCTGAACTTCCTTCTTGGCCTGCAGAGTCTAAAATATTGACCAGATGACTTCTCTCAGCAAAAGTTTGTGCCCCCTGGATCTTACCCAGCCTCCACTTTTTATAGTTGTGGAAAATGAGGCCCAGAATTCAGGCCCCAGATCCCCACAGCAAAGGTCGTGGCAGGGCAGAGGTCTTTTTTTGAGTGTCCTGGGCAAGGCCACCAGAGAGAGAGAGAAGGAAGGCAACAAAACAGAATGCAAGAGAGGTGATGGTGGCCTCCCTGCCCTGCAGGGACTACCTCCAGGCCCAGGGTACAAAGGTCCTGTGATTACATAAAGAGGGGAAGGGCGTCAGGCACCCAGGTACCACACAAGGATGGGACACAAGGTTGAGTGACGTGGGGCCAGTTTTTGATGCTCAACACCTCTGATTTGAGCACCAGGTCTGAGTCACGCCATTCTAAGGATCCTGGCTCTGCTTGTTGTGGGGTTACTCAGCACCCACGTGGCTCTGACTTCCAACCCACCCTCCTGCCCCTCCCAGGGCAGAGCCTTCTCTCCTGGCCTCACCTGGTCACAGTGGTATGTGGATGTTCGAGGGTGTGAACTGGGGGAGTTTGCCTGTCAAAGGGAGTCTTCAACATAAACTTGGTTAAAGGAAACCCTGGCATCCCTGGGGCGAATGTGCTCTATGTACCTCTCCCAGAGCAGGGGGTTGGGCCTAGCAGAAAGTGCCTGCTGGGACCCCAGGTGAGGCCTGGGGCCTGCTGGCAGGTCTGGCTCGGTGAGGAGTACTTACTCAGCAGACTTCCAGAAGTGCCCAGGGTGGGAGAGCCTGCGGTTCAGCTTGGGCAGCTTCTCCAGCATGTCCATCAGCAGGCTGAAGCTGGGTCTCTCCTGCAGGTCGAATGCCCAGCAGGCAGACAGGATCTCCTGCAAACGGAGCTGCCCTCAGTGCTGTGTGAGCTGGTGGGAGGGGAAGGGGCGTGGCCAGGGCCCTCCCCCAAGGGACCCTCCGATGCTCTCAAGCACCTAGCTGGTATCCTCCCGCCCCCAAAACCCTGGGACATGGAGTGCTGAGAAATAACCGTATTTCAGAAGAGCTCTCAGGCTTCCAGTTTAAAATGAAATGCATGAACTTGCCAGCTCCCTCCTCCCTGAAATAACAGGGGAACAGATGGGTGGTGGGAAAGAGAAGTGGCAGGGTCAGGGGCTGGTTCTTGGAAGATGGAAATTGGAAGGCACAGCACTCACAGGTGACACGGGAGGAGCTTGGAATATTGTGCAGGGTGGGCTGCAATGGAGGCAACCAAGGCAGGAGCCTCGGCATCCCCAGAACAGAGGCTGGAGTGACAAGAAGGCCTAATACACATGTGGCAGCTGAGAGCCAGCAGAGGAAAGCCCTTCTCACTGAGGCATTTGGATCCATGCATGCACACAGCACACCCACAGCCTTGTGATTCAGGAGATGCCCCTGTGGGACAACAGGCCCGCGCAAGTGCAGGACACAGACACTCAACATAGCAACACAGGCTGTCAGCACCAGCAGGAGTGTGATCCAAAACATAGCGGACCCCATGGGGGTGCTTCCAGAGAAAGACCTGAGACAATCAGAACAAAACCCTGCCTTCCAGAAGTGTACGTGTAAGGAAGGTCCTCTACCCATTTACAAATATCAGGAAGAAAAGAAGTTCACAGAATTAGCCAAAGGGGAAGGAAGGGAAGGGAGGGGAATGGGAATGGGAAAGACCGTAGAATGACCTGGACATCACTTTCCTCTGTTCATATATGAACACACGACCAGTGAAACTCCACATCACGGACAACCACAAGATGGGATCCTAATTAGAATAAGTCCTACTCCATGTATGTATCCTATGTCAAAATGCTACTGTCAAGCATATCTTAACAAGAACAACAACTAAAATGATTAGGGCATAATAAAAATAAAAGTGCTTAAAAGCACAAACATCATTTCTGAACCCCAACAGGAACAGTGCTAGAAAATAAAAAAATAAAATAAAATAAAAATAAAGCAAGAAAATCCCCTAGGCTGTGGACACTTTCAGATAGGAAGGGACCAAAAGTATGAAAGGATAGAGACTCACTGAGAAGGACCGAATTCCACCCAATGGGAATTTCCACCAGAGAAAACAAACAATAGGGCAGGAAGTTATCAAAGAAAAACATAAAATTTCCCAGAAACATTCAAAGGAAACAGGAATCTTCAGCTGAAAAGGTCCAACAGAAAAATCTCCCTTAAAAAAATTTTATGAAATGCTTCAATAGCAAGGATACACAAAAGATCCTAGATGCTTCTGGAAAGAACAAGACACAGCATCTCTAAAAGGTTTTGAATCAGCCCAACAGCAGATTTCTCAATAATGCACTGGGTGTGAGTAGACAGCAGAGCCAAATGTTTGTGTTCTGAGGGAAAATGATTGTGAACCTGGAATTCTCCTCATGGCATGCAGAGAAAATAAGGACTTTTTTAGGCACGCAAGGATTTAAAGATGTGGCAGTGTCTTTCGGTTACACTCTCATTTTGCTGGAGGAAAAATGAAGGAGGAAAGTTATGAGAGATGAAGAATTGTGCAAGTGACCCAGGAATGAATTACAAACAACAACAATAACAAACCCAGAAGGACCATGGGGGTGTAGCAAGCCTGAAATTCCATCGATTTAAATCATCAGAAACAATCATCAGAAAAGTATGGGGTAGGGGTGGGAGGGAAGGGAGGGGGCAGGGGGTTAGAAATGATGGTGGAATGCGATGGACATTATTATCCAAAGTACATGTATGAAGACACGAATGGGTGTAAGTATACTTTGTGTACAACCAGAGATATGAAAAATTGTGCTCTATATGTGTAGTAAGAATTGCAATGCATTCTGCTGTCATATATAAATTTAAAAAATTAATTAAAAAAAGAGAAGTATTGTACAGAGGCCATTCAATAAATAATAAAGGCAGAAGGAATACAAAGACCTTAGGAGCCGGGTGTGGTGGCACACACCAGTAATCCCAGTGGCTCGGGAGGCTGAGGCAGGAGGATCATGAGTTCAAATCCAGCCTCAGCAAAAGTGAGGCACTAAGCAACTCAGTGAGACCCTGTCTCTAAATCAAATACAAAATAGGGCTGGGGATGTGGCTCAGTGGCCGAGTGCCCCTGAGTTCAACCCTGGTACCCCACCCCTCAAAAAGAAACCCCTCAGGAATATGGTAAAACTGTCTGTTCTTTCAACAACAAAAAAAAAGAAGGTGGTGCCTGTAGTCTCAGCTACTCAGCAGGAGAAGGCAGGAGGATCACTCAATCCCAGAAGTTTGAGGTCAGCCTGGACTACACAGGGAATCCTCATTGGAGAGGGTAAAAAAGCAATTAGAAACTACAGGAGGGGCTGGGGTTGTGGCTCAGTGGTAGAGAGCTTGTCTAGTACATGTGAGGCACTGAGTTTGGTCCTCAGCACCACATAACAAAAATAAAGGTATTTTGTCAATCTTCAACTACAAAAAAAGAAAAAAGAGGGGCTGGGGCCGTAGCTCAGTGGTAGAGCACTTGCGGAGCATGCGTGAGGTACTGAGTTCGATACTCAACACCACATAAAAATAAACAAATAAAATAAAGGCATTCTGTCCATTTGCAACTACAAAAAAAAAAAAAAAACTTAAAAAAAAAGAAACTTTAGGAAAAACCTAAAATTTCACAGGAAAGTCATGATCCAAATGTGAAGCTAATAAAATTGGGAGCCTTTGAGAATCGATGGAGCACAAGAGCTAGGCCCACAAAGAAGAAAATGTAATCCCAATGTGCCACCCACCTGGCTTTAATTCCCCACCTTTTTTTTTTTGGTACTGAGCCTTGAACCCAGGTGGACTCTACCACTGAGTTACAGTCCCAGTCCTTTTAATTTTTTATTTTGGGACAGGATCTTGCTAAATTGCTAAGCCTGGTCTGGAACTTGCGATCCTCGTTTCTCAGCCTCCGGAATAGCTGGGAACACAGGCATGCGCCACTGCACCTGGCTTCAATCTATATTCTTAAAAAGCTTCTACACTCTGGTCTAAAAGAAACCCTTCCAATTAGTCCAGGCATCTGAAGATGCTCATCTAAAATGACATTACATTTGATCTACTTTGTTCTACTGGAGTGTCTTCTGTCATCAGATTCAAGTGCAAAATATTTGGACAGGATTGCTTCTCCAGGAAGGACCCTGGCTGCTCACCAACAGTACCAATCCCTCATCACTAAAAGAAAGCCTTCCGATTAGTTCAGGTCACTGGCTGTGCTCCAGAATTATCTGAGGAGCTTTTCTAAAAAATAAAAATAATTAACTATGACTTTAGTCTCATCCCAGGCTAATTAAATCCGTATTCCTGTCGGGGAGGCCCTGACCCTTGTGTATTTACAAAGCTGCCAGATGATTTTGACTTGTAGCTGAGCCCTGCCTGCCTCTCCTGCGGCCCCCATCCAGCTCTGACGCTCTGCTCCAAGGTGCTAAGTGTGCAGAAGGGGAACCCAAGTGGTCGCCAGGAGAACTTGATAAATTTTTTTTTCCCCCCAGATATAACATTCACACACTCTGGTTTACACAAGGACGTCCTTCTGAATATTACCATAAAGGTCAAATTAGAAATAACCTCGACAGGCAGTGACAGAGGCAGTGACATGGTGGTGCAGCCAGAGGCCACACAGACAATAGGATTTGCTAATGATTTGAGATAATGAGCAAAATAAAATGTCATGTGGAAGACACGTCGTGAGCTGACAGCAGCTGCTCCGGCTGCCATCTGAGCTGCCCCAGAGCCCAGGCAGAAGGCTGCAGCCACCCCCAGGAGCCCAGCCCCATGTCCAGAGCCTACCACGACCTTCCTGAGGTGCCCAAGGACACCTCCTGGGGAAGGCAGCCTCTGACTGACTCAGGCCCAGAGCGAGGCCCAGAGGACACTCTAGGGGTGGAGAGGTGCTTGTCACCTAGCCTGCCCAGCACCTGAGCTGCAGGGGTATCCAGGGGCGAAAGTCTGATATTGGAGCTGGGCATGAGCATTTGATGTCCTTCTTGGGCAAGCGTATCTGTACAATTATTGTGTACTTAAACCAGATGACAGGCATTTCTGTGAAACCAAGTGAATCTATCAAATTGCCATTTTAAATGAGCCCTCTGAAGATGCCCTAGCTGCTTGCTACCAGTCCATAAAGGAATCTATTGAGATCTAGCAGGTCTTGGAGGAAGATGAGGCTGATGCCTGCAAACCCAGCAGCTTGGGAGGCTGAGGTGGGAGGATTGAGGGTTCAAAGCCAGCCTCAGCAAAAGCAAGGTGCTGAGCAACTCAGTGAGACCCTGTCTCTAAATAAATTACAAAATAGGACTAGGGATGTGGCTCAGTGGCTGAGTGTCCCTGAGTTCAATCCCTGGTACTCTCAAAAAAAAAAAAAAAAAAAAAAAAGATGAGGCTGAATTCATCCTCTGTCTAGAGTTTGCAGGTGATGATCCTGCCAACATGGCTCATGACTTTAGAAATTCACAGCCTCCAGAGGTCTAAACCTGGATGACTGTTTCCACTGCTCTGTTGCCCAGATACCTGAGGGAGTTACTAATGACAGGGCTGTGTCGTCCCCTCTGGTGCATGAACATGGACACGTGCTTATCCCTGATCACACTGACAGTGCTGAAGCCAGGAGTTTACAGATGATTGTGCTGTGACCAGGAGACTTACAAGTGCAAGGAAACCATTCAAGAAAATCCGTTCAGAAACGAGAATTCAGCAATGAAATTCAGCATTGTGAATTTGAACATTGTGAATTTGAATTGAGAACAAGTTTGTCACAGAAACTTCAATTTGTTCTTGAGCAGTCAAGAAAAACATTAGGTGTTGGTAGGCCTGCTAATGATTTGAGATAATGAGCAAAATAAAATGTCATGTGGAAGAGACGTCGTGAAGCATTCCTGGAGGAATGCTTATCTTGCTCATGATGCAGCAGGGATGTCCTAACATAGAATGCAATGTTTAGGGACAAAGTCCTGGCAGAACACTGACAAGTGCAATTTCCTTGCTCCTTTGACAGGAAGTTATTCTCCTGTTGGTACACGGCCAGCCTGCGTGGCAGTTTCTGAACCCTTGGTGTCTGGATTCCCGTAATATGATATATGGTGTATCACCTCTGTCCTATCGTGACTGTCATATGTAAACTGGCACATACCCACTATAAAAGCTATTTTTTGCTGTGCAATACAGCAGATGCAGTTCTCTGAAACGGTCTCTGGAGGGGTGTCTCCGTGCCCCCAAGCTCCCCACAGCCAATGCTGGAAAAGCCGGCTGGCTCCTCAGCAATTATGGAGAAAGATCTGATGCCAAAGCTTATCCCCACTATTTGTATTTTGAGTGGTGATTTTTAAATTTTTCTTTCATATAAATATTATATAAGAATTGACTCTCTTCATCTCACCAATCAATTAAAAACTTCATCTTTGAAAAAAAAAAAAAACAAAGACTAGGGCTGGGCATCATGATGCCCTATAAACCCAGTGACTCAGGAGGCTGAGGCAGGAGGATCACAAGTTGGAGGCCCTAAGCAAGACCATGTCTCCACCCCCCGCCAAAAAAAAGACTGGAAGGAAATGAAGATAAAAGTTAACGTGGGGTGATACAGGATGGGTTTTATTTTTTATTTAGGCTTCCCTGCTTTCCCTCACTTTCAATAAGCAAGTATTGTTTTTAGTGTCTAATTTGACACCTGAAGTGGCAGAGCTGAGACCACTGAGGAGTGGTCTCTTCCCTGATGGCTGAAGGAGGGGCAGCCAGGTCATACCCCACCCCAAGTCCAATCTCCAGCCCTGCGTCCCTCTGGGTGGCTACTCACGGTGACTTCCTTCCCCAGGCTGATGGAGGCCAGGACTCTCTTCATGCCTTCCCCGCTTCCAATCTGCCAGATCAAGGCCTCTGCGGGCTGGTGCTTAAAGGGCCAGTCTCTTGCTTGTAGTTCATACCAGACAGTCCTGTGGGATCGTCCATAGGGTGAGCTCCCGCCTAGGGCTCCGTGGCCAGAGACCTGGCTGCCACAGAGCCAGGAGCCAAGCCTGAGGACCAGCACCCTTCTCTAGCCCTCCTCCCCTTCAGGCTTTGGGTGATGATGTGATGGCATCCCTGAGGCCGCTCCCAGCCTGCTGCGATGGGGGTGAGAGGCCCAAGGCAGCGCAGGAGGGATGGGGGTCACTCGGCCTAAGTACGAGCCCAGCTTCGCCACTCTGTAGCTGAGAGATCCTGGCACACAACGGCCCAACCTGGGGGACCGATGCCTGGGTCGTGAGGATGTTGAAGAAGTAACAAAACACCACGCCCAGCTCAGGGGACACATCATGTTTAGGCAATGATATAGTCCAAGGTCAGGGAGGAGAGTTGGCCCTCAGGGACCCCCATGGGAAAGATACCCCCAGAGAGTGCAGAGTGGCTGGGGGTGAGCCTTCCTTGGCCTCTTCAAATCCCCTTAGCATTCCCAACTTACTGAGACAGGGACACTAATTACACCTGCACGGTCCAATGTGGGGACCACCTGCCACATGAGGCTGCTGAACAACCCACACGGGACTCTGAAGACTTAGTAGGAAAAGGAATATGAAACAGCTCCTTGATTTTTTTATATTGATTAAACATTAAAATGATAACATTTTTTAAATATTTATTTTTAAATTATAGATGGACACATATCTTTATTTTATTTTTATGTGGTGCTAAGGATCGAACCCAGGGCCTCGCATGTGCTAGGCAAGCGCTCTACCACTGAGCCACAACCCAACCCACAGAATGATCTTTTTAAATAAACTGATTGTTAAAACTAATTTTTTTTTTTTTTGTATCAGGGATTTAACTCGGGGCACTTGACCACTGAGCCACATCCCCAGCCCAATTTTGGGTTTTATTTAGAGACAGGGTCTCACTGAGTTGCTTAGCACCTCACTATTGCTGAGGCTGGCTTTGAACTCGCCATCCTCCTGCCTCAGCCTCCTGCCCCGGATTGGGGCCCTCCTGCTTGTCCTTGGTGCACTGGGGGCCTGCTCACCCAAATGCATAGACGTCGGCGGCTTTGGAGAAGGGCAGCTGGTCCTCGTCCTTCCCGGGAGTCATCTCGCGCACGATCTCAGGGGCCAGGTAGCACAGCCAGTCGTGGGATAGCTTTAGCTGGTTCTCACGCCTGGAGGCCAGGATGAGAACACAGGCCCTTCAGCGGGCAGCAAAGAGGCCTGCTCTGCCCACATCTGCCTCGGGGCCAGCAAACCACCCCAGCCCCGTGCAGAAAAGGCACCCGAGCACAGAACGCTGCTCCTGCTCCTACACGGGTGCTTCTAGGGACTGTCCAGGGACCCTACCTGGGTTCCTCTAGGAAAGCATATGGATGATGTATTATTAGCACACAAAGATAAAAACACATTGCTAGAATGTTATGCCACACTTACAAACTTATTAAAAAATTATAATCTAGAGATAGCAATAGATAAAGTACAATTAAATTTTCCAATTAATTATTTAGGAGTTCTATTATCCTCAACCATGGTCCGTCCACCAAAAATTCAAATACGAGTAGATCAACTCAAATCACTTAATGACTTTCAAAAGTTATTAGGAGACATAAATTGGATAAGGCCTTATTTAGGTATACCAACAGGAGAGTTGGGACCTTTATTTGATATCCTAAAAGGTCCATCAGATCCAAATTCACCCCGAATGTTAACGCCTGAAGCAAGAAAGGCATTAAAAATCATTGAAACATATATGGAAAATATGCATTTGGATAGAATTGATATAAGTTTGCCTTTATTATTTATTGTACTACCAACAAAAAATATTCCTACAGGAGTATTTTGGCAAGAAGGTCCATTATTATGGATACATTTATCTTATTCTCCTAACACTATTCTTACTAGGTATCCTGAGGCTGTAGGACAATTAATACTCAAAGGAATAAAAGCAGCAAAGGGAGTGTTTGGAATTTCTCCCAATAAAATTATTACTCCATATACTATGAATCAAATTGATGAGTTAGCTAATGAGTTAAATACTTGGGCAATAATCATGTGCAAATCTAATGTTTCATTTGATAACCACTTACCATCTAATCCTTTATTGTCTTTTTGGTCATTGCATCCTATAATTTTTCCAAAAATGACAAGAAAAACACCTATCATGAATGCTCCAAATATATTCACTGATGGGTCAAATAATGGTACAGCAGCAGTAGTTACCCCTGATCAAACTTTTACATTTTTAGTACCCAAACAATCAGCTCAAAAGGTAGAGCTTAATGCAGTTTTACAAGCTTTTGTGATGTTTAAAGATTCTGTATTTAATTTATTTTCTGATAGTCAGTATGTAGTTAATGCTATAGTATCTCTTGAAGATGCTGGTAGGATTTCCCCTTCTTCTACTGTTTTCTCTTTGCTTTCCACTATACAAAGTCTAATCTGGGACAGAAAAGATCCATTCTTTATAGGACATATCAGGGCACATACAGGATTGCCTGGAGCCCTTAGTTTGGGCAATGATTTAGCAGATAAAACTACACATGACATACATATTTTCTCTACACTAGAAGAAGCTATAAATTTTCATAAAAAGTTCCATGTCAATGCTAATACTTTACAAAAGCGTTTTAAAATAACTAAGGAACAAGCTAGACAAATAATGTCAAAATTGTGTGACCTTTTTACCACAAGTTAATCTTGGAGTCAATCCTAAAGGATTGATACCTAACCATATTTGGCAGATGGACGTCACACACTTGCCAGAATTTGGAAAATTAAAATATTTGCATGTTACAGTTGATACTTCTTCTGGATTTTTGATGGGCTCCCTTCATGCCGGAGAAAAAACTAAAGATGTTATAGCTCATTGCTTACAAAATTTTGCCACTGTGGGTGTTCCAAAACAGTTAAAAACAGATAATGCCCCTGGTTATACTTCTACCTCTTTTAAACAATTTTGCTCAACATTTGGCATTACTCATATAACAGGAATCCCATACAATCCACAGGGACAAGGCATAGTTGAAAGAGCTCATCAAACTATTAAAATGTACTTATTAAAGCAAAAAGAAGGAATTGGGAAGGGGTATATATTCCCCAAAGATAAAATAACCCTTTTTACTCTAAACTTTTTAAATTTGGATTCATCAGGACTTAGTGCTGCGGAAAGGCATATGTGTCCAAAAATGTACATAAGCCCAAGGTACTTTGGAAGGATATTCTAACAGGACAATGGAAAGGTCCTGACCCAGTAATTGTCTGGAGTCGAGGGTCTGTTTGTGTGTTTCCACAGGGAGAACAGCAGCCGATTTGGATTCCAGAGAGATTAACCAAGGTCCTGACCCAGTGATTGTCTGGAGTCGGGGGTCTGTTTATGTGTTTCCACAGGGAGAACAGCAGCCGATTTGGATTCCAGAATGATTAACTAAAGCGATTTCTACAGACCAAAAAGAAGATGATTTGGCTCAAATCCATAACAACTGATATCCAAAACTCCAGTTTGGCTATTCTTACATCTGCAACAGAACCAGGATGCTTTTTTCAATATCTATTTTATTATTGCCCTTTGCCATATCATGAAGTTCTATTTTGTTTTTTGAGCTCATACAGACCTAGGTTAATGTTTTGCTGATCAGTTCTATTTTTTGACTATAGAGTTTTTAAACATTGCAATGGAGATTTCACCTGTAAAAAGTTATAAGGCCTTTACTATAATGTTATGTGTTGTATGTATTATATTATGTGTGCACACTTGTGTTTTGTGTTATATGTTTGAATGTACGTATGTCCATATATCATATATGATGAGCGCTCATGATAAAATGGATCCAAATATTTTTTTTTCACGTGATTTTTATGGTTTAATTTAAATTGGGTAAACAACTGTTGAGGATTGTTTTAATATGTAAACAAAAAAGAAGGTTAACAGATCTGTTTGTTTACTTTCACCTTTCCTTTTCATTATATTTAATAATTCTCTTAAAGATAATGTAAATTGTTAAGAAAATTGTTTTCTTTTAGTGCCTTCTGTAATGTTACATAATTTTTTCTTTAGCCATTATTGCCAGAATTCCTATCTTCATCCCAGTGCCGGTGAAGACAATGTAAATTGTTAAGAAAATTGTTTTCTTTTAGTGCCTTCTGGAATGTTACATAATTTTTTCTTTAGCCATTATTGCCAGAATTCCTATCTTCATCCCAGTGCTGGTGAAGTCAAAGATAAAACCAATCTACAGCTTCTACAATAGCCATCACTGAACTGCTTGCAGAACTTGCCTGGACACATTGTGAGCTCACCTGTATGCATTGTGAACTATCTGTTGGTACAGCGAATTGTGGTAGTGCTGGAGTATTTTTGCTGATGGTGTCACCGGTGGTACAATTTTTCAAAGGAGCCCTCAATTGGCTTAATGTCATGGCATTTTGCATCCTCCTCTACTAGTGATGGTCTAAAATTTGGGGGCCAACAGAGGTGAGGCAAAGAACCTCACCCCCCCACAGGTGCAAAGGCCTATCCACAAGTATGGCTGTATGCTGGACCGGTAGTCAGTGACGGGTATGATCCAATTGCAGTGGTACCAACCTAAGACAGGAGGCTGACGCCTAGAGGTCAGTTCATCCGATGACGGGTAAGGACCATATGTTGAATTGGACTGCCTAACAGGCACGGTCCCTAAGCCACATGCTTGTTGTTTAAACAGAGAGGGGGAGATGTTGAGAGCCACAGCCAAAGGGGCCCCAGCAAACTTCCAGCTGCCAGCAAACTTCCAGCTGCTTGCTGATGATTGGCTCACAGCGGCCCCAGCAACATCTAGCTGATTGGCTCCTCGGCCCCAGCAACATCTAGCTGATTGGCTCCTCTGCGGTGATGCTCATTGGACTGTTTCCCTGCCCTTTCAGACCACGGAGCTGCTCATTGGGGGACTTTTTTGGCTCCGCCCACGTGACCCAGCCAATCAGCCTCAAGAGCAGGAGGATTGTGGGAGGTGGAGAGAAGCTTGTGGGGGAGAGAGAGGCTTGGGGAAAGCCGGTGGTGGCAGTTGAGGCTCTGAGGGTTTTTCCTGAGAGACTATTTTGTTTGTCATGTGTGGTTCTAAAAATAAAGTTAGTTTCTTTTGACAAGTGGCTCCTGATTGTGCCCAGCCAGACTGCGGCAGGGACCTGCATGTGAAGGTGCCCAGTCTTTTTGCTGGGAGGGTGGGACAGTCTGTCCGGGGCCTCAGGCCTGCCTGCGGGGCCCTGCAGCCCAGCTGCCGCTCTCTCTGGTGTGGGGAGACAGCCTTTCTCCCTACCCTGCCCCCTTCAAGACCAGAGGAAATAAAACCAGAAGCTCTTCCTCATCATGGGGATGGGACCCTGGTCCCTCACCCAGTTCTGTGAGCAGTAGGCGACACATGAGTCAGGGGACCTAGACTCCCTGTGAATCAAGCACCAGGAGGGACCTAAATATCACCAGATGGAATTCTGGACCAGAACCACAGGGCAGGACCACACCAGCCTGGGCTTTTCTGTGGGGAGGGCCAAGTGCATGAACCCTAAATACACCCAGCACGCCAGCTACTCCGTCCCACCCACACACCCAAGGCCAGCTCACCGTTCTTCTCGGACCACTCCTGAGATCCCAAACAGCCCAAAGTCTGTGATGACCACTTTGCCATTGTCGTAAAAGACATTCTTGGATTTGAGATCCTTGTGCACGATGCCCTTGGCATGAAGATACCCCATGCCCTGGAAGACAGCAAGCCTCACATTAGACAAAGTGACGATGACTGAGCTCCAACTTGGGCCAGGCCCTGGGCAGGATGCTTCAGAGGGGAAGTTACTTGCCCCTAACCACACAGCAGTTAAGTAGCAGAGCTCAGATCTGACTCTAAGCCAGCGCATACTCTTTCTACACCATTGGGCTACCAAATAGCCACCTCACACTTGGATAAGATGTGGATAGGGTGATTGGTGGGGAGTCAGGAAGGTTGACTATATAAAGATCAACAATGCTGGCTGGGGTGTAATTCAGTTGTACAAAATGCACGAGGCCCTGGTCTGATCCCTAGAACTGCTAGCTAAATAAATAAAATAAAATACATAAAAATAACACCGTCTGGGTTAGGCCATAAAGGGCCCAGATGAGCTGCAGTCTCCATCAGGATTTACACAGCTCATCTCTGCTCTCAGGTGGGGCAAGGGCTCAGAAAGGGAGACAGAGAGACCTATCTAGAGGGGTCCCCAAATTTGGGTATTCCCAATATCCATGCTGTGGCCAAAGAAGCCCTGGATGAAAACTGAAATCCAGGTTTCACGGTCCATCTCTGCTCAGATTCTCCCTCCCTAGCTGTGTGGCCTTGGACGCACTGCTAACTTTGCTGAGCCTCGGTCTCCTCATCTGTCAAGTGCAAAGTGGGAAATTGCTAATCAGTGCTCTTTGGACTAGACACTGATGGGCCAGATGCATGGAACACAGGTGACTGACACGGCGTGATCTCATCCAAGGTCAAAGCTCTTTTCAACCCCCAAGCCCAGGCCTCCTGCAAAGCCCAATACCCTGGGGACCAGGGAGAGACACCAAGGCTGAAATAGACCCCCTCCAGCTCAGAAAGAAGACACTGCTATGGTTCAGATCTGAAATGTCCCCAAAGGCTCATGAGCTGGAAGCACAGTCCTCAGCAGCAAGGTTCAGCAGTGGCTTTGAGGCAGTGACTCTGACCCTCCCTCCCTCCCTCCCCCGGTTTCCTGGTTCAGGTCAGGCCCAGAGCAAGGGAGTCTGGGGACTATGGACTGAGACCTTGGAAACCATGAGCCCCGAACAAACTTCTCCTCTTCCCAACTGCTCCTATCAGGTATTTTGGTCAAAGTGATGAAACTCCCCCTGACCTCCCATAGTCGAGGGAGCTTTATGCCTTACGCAGACGCGTCCCAGGCCATAAAGGGGTCTGAGGGTGAAGGAACGGTGACGTCTAGGGACAAACAAGCCACATCTAGGAAAGAGGATCAACCAACCATGAGGCAGAACCAGAAGCAACTCAGCCCCAGCCAGAGAGCAGTCCTGGTGGGTCTGGTGGGTCTGGAGGGCGCTGGAGAATTTAAACAAGGCGACTCCCCTCTGGAAGGGCCTGGGGTGTGTGTGCAGCTGCTGGGGCTCCACCCCTAGGCCTGCTGAGAAAAGTCACAGGGAGCTCCAGGAAAGAACAGCTTGCTTCATTCCCCAAACCCTGATCTGAATGCAACATCTGCCCATTTCCCAAACCAAACCAAGGCCCACGCCTTGCCCAGGAGCCACACAGAGGCCCAGACAGGGACCAGCTGTGGACCTCAGGTCAAGCAGCTCACCCTCTCTCTGAGGCTTATTTACAAAACAGGTGTCACAGACTGAGAAAGGCCAGTTTACAAAGATAAGATGAAAAGCGTCAGGCCTGGAGTTCCGAGTCTCCTTTCCCAGAATTTCATGTTTCTGTAGCCACTCCTGACCTCAAACCCTCTCCTAACCAACAGTTAGGCCCCTTTTATTTAGCTTGACCCCCCCAGAGCATTGGAGATGACTGTATGAAGGAAGTTTGTGGCCGGAAGGCCCAAAGGGGAAGAAGATGGTTTCACAGCAGGAAAGAAATCAAATAAGCCAGCAGAGGCAGCTTCTGAAACCTTTTAGTAATTTTCCTCCTGGTCCCTGGAATCTCCAAGTTTCATTGATCATGACTCAGGACTCATGACCCAGCTCTCTGAGGACCGGAGAGGGCTTGGGGGAGTGGGGAGGGAGGAGGACTTGGAGGAAGCAAGAGGAAACCTCCCCCAGCTCCCGCTGGCGTGTGCTTAGCCACGGGGACACGTCACATGGCAAACTTGGTTCGTCCACAAATGTCACCGTGATTTTTGATCCCACGTGCACAAAATGGACTGAAGGTCAGAACAGGGGAGGAGAGAGAGGGGGGCAGGCAGGAGAACAGGGAGGAGAGAAAGACAAAACGGAAACTTGATGGCGCTGGTAGAAGAAAGCTTTTCAGCACAAACCGGGGAGGAGAGAGAGGAAGTCCCACCCATCAGTATTCTAATTTTTATTTGGGCTTCTTTGTTGCTAAAGAAAGCAACCAATGAGCTTTTCGTTCACTTTTAAGGAATTACTGTTGAAATGATGAAAGGAAGCCCTGGGAGCCTGCCCTCGAAGAACTTAGATGTGGAAACTTTAAGGCAGAAAGTGTGGGTTCCTTTGTGCCCCAGAAGTTAAATACCAGCCCCCTTATCCCAGTCCCCTCATTCAGTCACCAATCCAAATAGACCCTCAACAAATGCCCTGCCTTGTGCCAAATTCTCTCTGCACAGAGGACTGCATTTTATCCTTGCACAGATCCAATGAGGGAAGGTATATTAATATCGCTATTTTACAAGGCTCAGAGAGGCGCAACAACCTGCCCAAGGTCACACAGCTGGTGAGAACAGGAGCCAAATTGTCTTCAGAACATAACTGAGAACCTCTCCAATTAATTTAATTCTATCAATGTTGACCAAGTGAACAGCTCTGACTCTGAGAAGGAAGAGGGTGGGTCCCACCTTGGGAGCTCCAGCTAGCAGGCGAGGTAGAGCACCCCAAACCACCCCAGCACAAGCAGGTATAGCAGGACGGTGTGGGGGGGGGCGACGGGACTGCTTTGGGACCAGCCAGAAATCCGCCCTCCAGCAGCTATACACCCCTTTACCTTGATGATCTCCTGAGCAATCTGCCTCGTCTTGTTGATGTCCAGAGACGTCTTGGGGTCCCTCACAAATGAATGCAACGTCCGCCCCTTGCAGAAGCTGTCGAGGGTGGTGGGGTCGGTCAGAGGTCTGGGGCTGGTACTGCCTGACCCTACCCCTGTGGAGCCAAGGTGGGACGGGGCCCACCTGCCTCCTCAGGACTCTCCACCCCTCAACATCAATGACCTTCACCAAGCCCGACACCAATCCTGCTGGGCAGGCCTTCAGAAGCACGCTCACTTGCACACTCAGAGGCCTGCCACCCTGCACGAGGAAACAGTTCACCAAACTCCCAGGGGGTCAGGGCAGCCAGCCCATCCTCAGCAGGAAGGATGGACCACAAGCAGGAAAACTCAAAAGGGGAGAACCGGGCCTTTGAGGGACACAAGAGGCCACACAAAGGCTTTGAGGGTCACGGTAAAGATGCTCATTATTGTTCTTATTATTTTTAGATTCCAGAGCCTTTTTTTTTTTTTAAATAAAGAATGTGCAACTAGGGAGAAGGCAGCGGGACAGTTGTCAGGGGCATCAGAGTGATATCCAGCAAAGCAGCTGTGTCCTGGGTCTCCTAAGACTCAGGGTGAGAAGGCTCCACAGAGAACGGGCAGCTCCTTCCCCTGTTCCACTGACTCCGATCTCTCGTGGAATTAGAGGAGGAGGGAAGGATGGATGAATGAATGGATGGACGGACAGTGGCAGGTGCCCCTGGGGACTGTCACCTGGTGTGACCACAGCCAGGCTCCCTAGGCATCAGGTTGTCCCGCAGGCCCCTCGTGAGGGCTCCCTGCTCAGGAGGCCTGGGGAGTGGGTACTCGGATCTCTGAGAGAAGCCAAATGGAAATTAATTTTTATTTTGTTCATTACATTGTTGTTTTTCCAAGCACAGGGTCCGGGTATGGGGAGTGTCAATAGAATGTTACTGAGGGATCTCTTGGCCTGATAGAAATAAAGCGATGCTTAGATTCTTCTGGAAACGTCTATGTATATTTCCGAATTTTTCTAATGACCTCATATTGCTTTTCCCGATTTTAAGGTAAACAACAATTTCTTAGATGCTGTGGGCAAAGCTGGTCCAGGGTTACAGCCCTGCTGCTCCAGGGAGGGGACACTGCTGTGGGTGCAGGGTACCAGTGGGCACTTCGTGCTGTAGAAATGGGCATTACATGTCAAAGTGGCAGGGGCTGGGGTGTGGCTCAAGGGTCAAGTGCCTGCCTAGCATGCATGAGGCCCTGGGTTCCATCCCCAGCACCGTAAATGCATAGAGAAAGAAAAGTGGACCTCAGAACTATAACCAAGTTTAAAAAGCAAGTATGAACCAGTGTGATCTTTCCTGTGTATTTTTATAAAGGAAAAACTCCATGAGCACGTGCCTACTCCTTTGTTTTAATGGAAGGTATGCTGGTGTTTATCCATCTTTGGGGAGAAGTGCCCAGTTGTGGGGGGAGGCAGTAGACTGGATTATACTTTGTACCTTTTATGGAACACTGGAATTTTCTCTATCCTTAGAGAGAGATCAGCTTATTTATTTATTAGGTACCGGGGACTGATCTCAAGGGCACTTGACCACTGAGCCATATCCCCAGCCCTATTTGGGGTTTTATTTAGAGACAGGGTCTCCCTGAGTTGCTTAGGGCCTTGCTAAGTTGCTGAGGCTGGCTTTGAACTTGTGCTCCTCCTGTCTCAGCCTCCTGAGCTGCTGGGATCACAGGCGTGTGCCTGCCCAGCGTAGCTCACTTATTTTTGTAATGACATTGGGGCTATGTGAGTGGGAATTTATTTCCATTGTTTTTTTTTTTCTTTTTTATGCCTCTATGAAAACCTCCCTGCCTCCTCGGGGTTCCCGGGCAGCTCACCTGGTGATGATGGCCAGGTGGGGGGGGTTCATGCAGGCCCCCATAAAGAGCACCACGTTCTCGTGCCGAGTCTGTCGGTAATTCATGACCTCCTTCTTGAAGAGCTTCAGGTGGTCCTGGTTGTGGCCGTCCATCTCCAGCAGGCGAATGGCCACCTCGCCGTGCCAGCGGCCACGGTGCACCCGGCCCCAGCGGCCCTGTCCGATGGGCTCGCCCAGCTCCACCTGCTCGAAGGGGATGTCCCACTCCTGCAGGTACACGCTGGTCTGGCTGGCCTTTCGAGAGATGGGGCCCCGCCAGGGCCGACGGGAGCTGGGCAAGTCGTCCACCTCGTCCTCGTCATCTTCTGCCTCTGACTTTCCAGCCTCTGGCTCCTCAGCCTGAAAAGGAAGTGGGAAAACATGGAGAGGGGACCAGGTCCAGGTCCTCTCTCCTCGGTCCTTGGGCCCCCATCAGGTGAGGGAGGAGAAGCACAGGGTCAGGAGGGCTGGGATCTAGTTGCCACTCTGCTCTGCTCTGCTGAGGACAGCGATAGGTCATTTATCATCGCTGGGCCTCAGAGTCCTTCATCCACTAAATGTGACTGCTGACCCAAGTGACCGCCAGATCCTTCATCCTGCTTACGCTCTAACATTCACCCGTGAGCAGCATCTAATTTGTTTTGGAAGGGCCTGGACATCCCTGGCGTGGAAGATGTAACCCAGCCACCCTTCTGATATTCTCTTGTTTAAGCACAGAGCTCCTGACTCTCCCTGGGCAGCAGGAACAGACCCTACGCTGCTCTGCACGGCAGGGATCCAGGCTCAGTTTACACTTCAGTTCAGTGGACAAGACAGTGGTTCTTGAACCTGCCCACAATCAGAATCACCTGGCAAGCACTGACACCTGAAGACGTCTGACCTGATCCCAGACAGACTGAGTTTAGGGCTCTGGACAGGAAGTGGGGACCTTGAGATCCCAGAGCTTATTCCAGTTAGCCTCCAGAACAGAAGAGCAAGAGGAAGGCTGTTTGGGGCATCCTTCATCATTCTTCCCTGCTCTGCACATCTGCAGGCATCTGGGAAGCCCGTGCCAGGACGAGGCACCCGCTCTCTCCCCAGAGCCTTCCATGATCCGAGAGGGGAAAGCAAAGTCGGTCGGTGGGTCTGTTACCCTGGCTTACCTCCACCTCAGGAACCTCCAACACATCTGCTTTGGGTGGGTCGTCGAGCCTAAGAGTAAGACAGGCCTGATTAAGGAGGTTCTGAGCTGAGCAGGGACTCCCCGGTTGGGCTTGAGACAAAAGGCCACCAGGCAGGCCTGGACCTTCACTGCGACCCAGCCATCTGTGGGTGGATGCTGTGGTGACAGGCAGAGGCCGGGGACCAGGTGCACCCTTCTCGGCCTCAGCCTTCTCTCCAGCCTGTCTTGAGTGTGCAGGAAGGTGACAGAGGCTGGAGGGTGGACATAACCATCAAGATCCCTTCGGATCTGTCACTGCCATTCAGAGTACACACAGGAAGGACTTAGAATCCAACAGCCTGACCTTGGAGAAATGGCTGTCACTTCCTCCCCGTGTGACCTTATGGAACTTAGTGGCCCTGAGCTGGCTGTGGGTTCAGATGACATCGACTGCGATGCCAGCTTCGCTGGACTAGGGCAGAGGAGGCGACGGGAATAGGCACCCAGCACAGCCCAATTGGGAGAAAGGACGCCCCGATGGAGCCAGTTCCAATAGGTCTCTGACGCTGAGTGCCCTCTGTCCACCCTCCTGGGTCACATGCAGCCCCACCCCATGCTAACTGTGCTGACAGAGGGCAAATAAAACACAGGTGAGTGAGCCCGCATTCTCTATCTGGCCGGCTCGGGTGAGCGGTGCTGTCCAGGATGGGAGGGTTGGAGGTTTCGGGGTGGGGGTTGGGGATTGGGGTGTAACCTCACAAAAGAGAAGGGGCGCCTACCGGGCACTGTCTGCCGAGTCAGGGAGCGGGGCTGGTGGCGGGAAGGCTGAAATGTCTGGAGGAAACAAAACAAACACAGGTGTGAGACCCCTGCTCCATGTCTCCAGAGACACCGGCCTGAAGCCAGGGAAGCGGATGTCCCCTGAGTGGCTGCCTCTGTCCGCCAGGCCACTTCTCCCAGGACCAACTTGGGTTTGTCTCTCAAATCTGATACAGATTCAGGCTCTCAGCACTTGGTTTTGTCCACAGAGCTCCATCCCAGGAAGGGACCTGGGGTAGAAAACGAGGGCGATGCCTCTGTGAGCCCCAGTCCCCGAAGTCAAACCCACCCTGCAAGCAAGTGGAAAAGCTAACGGGGCCATCGAGGGCTGGGGCGGGTGGCCAGAGGGACCTCCTGGTTGAGGTAGAGCCAGTCTCCAGGTCAGCCTGTGGGCTCCATAGTGACACCGGGTGTCCAAAGCAGCTTTGGGAATTTCTAGAGTGAAGGCCCCACCCCCTCGCCTTCAGGAGTTGGGTCACCAGTGACACAGCTCTCAGGCCAGAAGAAAGTCACCGCTACATGTCAGGAGGCCCAAGCTGGGCAATGGAGGCTGACCTCGGGCCTGGGGCGTTTCCAGAACAGATGGGCCCTGACATGGGAACAAAGAGCTACACAGAGTCTATGATCCCTGGAAAGGGCAGTGGCACAAGCGATCAGCAGCCCTTTCCTGCCTTGGACAAAGACCCTCCCTGCTCAGCCATGAGACCTCCCCTGCCCTGCGCTTCTTCCAAAACTACCTCTCAAGGTCAAAGGAACCATGCGTGAGCATCTCTAGGTCCTCACAGACTTAGAGAAGTTGAGGGAGCTGTAGACTTTCTTAACAGGGCAACGCACCCATACACCCCAACTGTGCAGTTAGGGCCCTGGACCTCGGGAGACTCTGATAGCACCTCCCTAGACATCACCACTTCATGTCTCCAGACCCCAGGAGCGGCCTGGTGTTTCTACCACCCACCCAATCCTGCTTGGATGTTCCCACAGAAGATTAGCACATGCCTAGGGAGGGGGGACTGGGAGATTTGGGGAGAAACAGCCCAGGTTGGAGGGCAAACATCTCTGAAGGCTCATACTTTTTCTTAAAAGTTAAGAATGTTGTGCATTCTGCCCCAAAACATGTTCATTTTTTGCTTTCATAAGCATTTCCTTCCCCTGCCCTTGACACATCTCTAGGGCAAAATGGATGCTTCTAGAAGAACAATGTTTTCCCAATTTGGGGGCACTCCTCTGTATATGTCCTAGAGTTAGCAATCAGGCGGGCTCTGGGGAGGCATGGAGGGGGACAACAAAATCAGACATGAAACCGTAAAAGGCAGCTCAGCTGTTCACAGGGAGCCTACGGACGCTGACCCCGGGTCCTGACCGCTGCTGGCCTGCAAATACCCAAGCAGAGCCACGTGGATAAGGACTCACAAGCTCTCCAAGCCAACCCACTAATGGAGCTGAGATGGGGAACAAAAAAATCCCAGAATAACCAAAACACTGTGACTTCAAGTCAGTCTTGTTTAACTCAGAGAATAAACAACTAGCTACAGACAGAAGGTGCTTGCCGTCTTCAGCTGGAGAAGAAAGCGCTGGTATTATAAAACACTTAGGGGCAGGCATATGGTCAGATGCAAAGGCTGGCACAAAGGTTTCCAGGGTGTGCAAAACAATTTTTGTGAAGGAGAATCAATGGATTGTCTATTTGATTCTGTCCTTTAAACTCTGCACAATGAGGCAGTCCCTAGGGTGGCCAGCAGGTGGCACTGTGGGACAAGGCTCAGAAAGGTGAGGCCTGCTGACCGAACAAAGGCCGCAGACCTCAACCAATGGCTTCCCTTCTGTAAAACTAAGTAGTGTTTCCCTCTCATTGGGTAGGGAAGGACATGGGGACAGGTGCTCATGCAGCATTAGCAACAAAGCCCTCTCCCCTCGTTCTGCAAACCCGAGTTCTAGCCTTGCTTCTGCTACCTCCTGGCGGTGTGACCTTTAATGAATGGCCTGAAGTCTATCTGCAGGAGGCTGGAGTGGATGGACTCCAGGGTCCCTCTCAGCAAGGCACTGTCCAGCCAAAGGGCCCACCTCTTGGACACCTGCCCCCCTTGCTCAGCCATGATGGACTCAAGCACCCAGAGAGAGGGCACCCGTGTGGGCTGGATAGGGGGGTCTCAGAAGGGGTCAGTTAGTGGAAACATGCAAAGGACTCACCTGGGAAGATAAACTGCTGTCTATGATGAATGAAGTAGGCAGCTTTAAACAGAAGAGGAGGTGAGTCACACACACAGAATAGCAAACGCAGCAAGGGAGGAGGGGGACACGTGGGCTTGGGAGACAGGAACTGGTTATTGGACTGGGACGGCCCTGCCCAGCTTACTCCACCCCAGGTGGGCCTGGCAAGGACAGGCTGAGCCATGCAGGAGGGAGGCAAAGAGGAAAGAAATGGGTGCCGCAGGAGCCCCAGGGTACAGGGGCTCCCACTGGAGGACTGGGATTCCAGGGCCTGGCTCAGTGTCACCTTGATACACAGCCCAGTCCAGCAATCTGCTCTGGGAAAAAGCCAGGACTCCCCTCTCCTGCTCTGGAGAATGCACAGGAGCCCAGGAAGGAAGACAATGAGCAAAAGTGGTGGTTCTGAGAAAGTTTTAACAGTGTCTCGTGTGGGAGAACGGCCTCCTACCCCTCAGTCCACTTTGACCCCTGGAGTGCTTCAACCTCATCCCCTACTTCCTCCCATAGACATGTCTCTTAAGGGATGCACTGGGGTTCTGGAATCTGACATGGAATTATTCCTCTTGTTTGATTTGTTTTGTATTTTGGAGACAGAGTCTCCCTATGTGGCCCAGGCTGGCCTTGAACTCCTGGGCTCAAGTGACTCTCCCATCTCAGCCTCCTGAGTTGCTAGAATGATGGGTGTGTGCCATTGCCCCGCAACTTAAAGCAACCTCATTCCACCACGGGGCTCTGGGACCTTGGGAGTCGATTAACCTCTCTAGCTGCCTCACTAGAAAATGAGGGTCACCTTCCCAGGGTCACCCTTGAAGGCCAACGACACTGTTCCTACGCAGCCTAGGGCAGGTGGACAGCAGGAGTCCCAGTTCTTTCCCCAGGTTAACTATTGTCCCACCCCAGCCCCAGAGAGGTTGGCCCCAATGGTCCAATAAGAGCTCAGGAAGAGTAAGGCCCCACACAGGGGACAATGAGGGCCCAGCCCCTTATGGGACATCAGTGAAAGTGGACAGGGTTTGGCTGATATCACAAAAAAGGATTTTTTCCTGTACCTATTGTTTTTCAAATAGGCCCTTCCTTTTAGGAAAAGCCAAACTAGGTGGTTTTGAAAAGGGATGATTTCAGTGAATAACGACAGAGTAGAACAGGGGAGGAGGTAAATCAAATGGGCCATCGCTGCATTGCAGGAAAGGGGGGCGCTGGGACAAGGCATCCGTGTCCGGAGACACCCAGCCACGGGCATATTAAGGCCAAGAAATAAGCCGATGAGAAAGAGCCCTACAAAATCAGTCTCACCACCCATGAACGAGGTCCCCAGGACCCTGGTGAGATGGACCAGTGAAGTCACCTGGCTTGCTGCTGGCTGGGTGCAGCCCCAGGGGCATCTCCTGGCACAGAGAAAGCTGAACTTCTGTCCCCCTGGGCCTGGGGCTGGTGGGATCATGATGGGGGCCTGGCTGGACCCCTCAGTGCAAGAGGGCGGAGGGTCTGCCGTTGGGCCTGGAGCAAACAGGAGTGTCACAGTCTCTCCCCTGCCTTCCTCTGGGACTGCAAATGAAACCGAGGCTGAGACAAGGGCACAAGGAGCTGCCAGAGGAGCCCAGGCAGCAGCTGAGTCCCAACAGTGGTGAACAGGCTTGGCTCTGCCACTGGGAGAGGCAGGACACCCAGGCTGGGCTTCTGGCAGGATAGAGATTCTGGCTGCTCCATGCAGACCCAGGGCATCCCGGGCTGTGCGGAGCACTACAGATCAGCCCTGGCTCAGGCCTACTCCCCCAGCGCCCCTGTGGGGACTCAGTGTCCTCATCTGTACCAGGGGTACCACCTAATTCTAACTTGACATGGTTTCCTTGTTTTATGGGAAGGAAGTAGAGGTCTCTTTTGGGTAGTTGGTCCTAACTGTGGAGTGTGCAGGTGACAGGTCCAAAAGCCCTGTCCTAGGCTTTTTGGCTCAATATGCTGCCTGCTATGCCAACTGGGGGCCGAGAAGACCGCCCTGAGTGAATGATAATGCCCAGCAGAAGCCACCACAGCACAGGAGGACAGCGTGGGGATCAGGCCAAGAACACTCAGCCTGCTATGTGTTGGGGGACATGGGCTTGGCCCTGCCTCTTACAGGCTGTAAAACTCAAGGCAACCACTTGTCTCTGAACCTCTGTGTCCCCATCTATAAAATGGGTGCAGCAACCTCATCAACCCCAGAGCTCCTGCCTTTGAGGTCAGCATCACACAGACAGTGGTGGCCTTCGACCTTGAACCTGCCAGGGGTCTTCTGATTGCACCCCTGAGAACCCAGAGAAACCCAGAGGTGCGGTACCTGGGAAGTTGAACCTGCTGTCCCGCTGGCCAGGCGAGGGGTTGGGGGGTGTGGTGGCGCTGGAGGGGTTCGTTGGTGTCGGGAAGGGCGCTGGCGAGGAGGGCGTGGAGGACGTGGCGGAGGAGGGGTTGCTGCTGGAGTCCAGGGGGTTCATGGCGGGAGGGTGCTCCTGCAGGACCAGAGCGGGGGAATGGGGGGCTGAACTGCCCCACCAGGCTGCCCCCCACATGCCAGAAGCCCCCACTTTCCCACTGCAAAGGAGGCCAGCCAGGGGCCCTTAGGGTCCCACCCTCCGGCACTAAAATTTTCCAGGTCTAATATTTGGGGACGGCCACACATAGAGACCCTGCTCTCAAAGGCTCCTGTTCATCTTTCTTTTTTTTTTGGCGGGGCGGGGGGTACTGGGGATTGGACTCAGGGGCACTTGACCACTGAGCCACATCCTCAGCCCTATTTTGCATTTTATTTAGAGATAAGGTCTCACTTAGTTGCTTATTAGCACCTCGCTTTTACTGAGGCTGGCTTTGAACTTGCGATCCTCCTGCCTCAGCCTCCCAAGCTGTTGGGATTACAGGTGTGCGCCACTGCTCCCAACTCCGTTCACCTTTCTTATTTCAGCTCAATCACACTTTCCTCCCAGAGGCCCTTCCTGGACACAAGGGCCTCAGAGGGTAGGAGGGAGTTGCTCAAAATAGGGCCAAGTGCCAAGTTCAACCTGTGTCCTCAGCAGGCCCTGGAGACTGGGGGATGCACAGCGTGATGAAGCCCACCTGAGCTGGTACAGTGGACCTCACTGGTCAGTAAGCCAACCCTGTGCAGTGCCAACTAAAGGAAGAGGCTGGACTGGGTCCACTGAGCCCTCACTCTTCCTGATCATCCTCCAAGGCTCAAGACCCTCCACTAATCCCTGGCCTCAACAGTGGCAATGAGGACAGGACAAGTCCTAGCAGCTCCTCTCAGCGGCTGTGTGACTCTGGACAAACTACCTAACCTCTCTGAGCCACAGTGTGTCACCCATAAAGTGGGGGTATCCACTTGATGATCCATACAAACGCTTCCCAAGGCAGGCATCAGGAACATGGGGAACAAGACGCTGCCCGGCCTCCCAGGGCATCTGCGCCAAAGGGGAATGGGGTGTGCAGAGGGGTAAGGGGCTGAAGAAGAGGTCAGAGAGAAGTGGGATGAACACCCGTTCTCAGCGAGGGCCCCAGGCAACTGGAAGCTCGTGTTATAACAACGACCATCAACAGGCCCCCAGAAGGACACGTGGGGTTGCTGCGCCGGGCGTGGTGAGAGAGACCGTTGGCAGCACCAGCTTCAGTGCCTCGGGTCCAGCTGTGTGCGCAGGAGGGCGGGCGGAGGTGGCCCTGGAGAGGCCACTGGCTGACAAGCGGCTGAGGGTGGACAAGCAGGAGCAAACACGCCAGGCTGTGACTGAGCCTGAGTGAGGGATGTGGGAGGGGGCCCCAGGCACTGGAGGGGAGAGGACAGGGTGGGAGCAGGGGGGCTGGCATTGGGGGGCACTGAGGTATTTGAAGAATTTCAGCGGTCTGTCACAGGCTGGGAAACAAATAACAGGTGACAGATGGTACCCAGCCCTACGTGTGACCCTGTGAACATTCCCACTGCCCGAGGACACCCCGTGAACAAAGCACCAAGATCCCCCTTCACCCAGGACAAAACTGAGGCTCAGAGAGGTCAAGCAGCTCACTCAGGTCACAGAAGCGAAGAGGACGAACTGCCGCCACTCACACCCAAGGCGGTGGCCCTGCCAGCACCTGAATGTCCCCCTACGGCTGCTGAACTCCTGGCTCAAGGTGATGGTACTGAGCTGTGGGGTCCTTGGAGGGGTGATCAGCTTCTGAGGGTGCGGCCGTCCAATGGGACACCAGCCTTTACCAAAGAGGTCAGAGGGACCCCTCTTCCCATTACATGAAGACATAGCAAAAAGGCACACAGGCTCTCGGGGGACCCTGGGCTCAGCTTCCCCAGCGGGAAAATGCAGGTAATTCCAGCAGGTGCCCTTCAGAGCTTTTTATAGAAAAACATTAATTAATTAATTAATATGGTGCTGAGGATGGAACCCAGTGCCTCACACGTGCCAGGAAGCACTCCAGCCCTGAGCCAGAACCCCAGGCCCCTTCAGAGCTATTTTAAGAGTCAAACGAATCACCAATGGAGAATTCCCGGCACACAGTAAGTGCTCAGGAAATGTTGGCTCAGAGGAGAAGAAAGGGCGTGGGAACCAAAGCTGCACAACCACCATTTGGATAGAACATGGAGCCTGCTGAGCGGCCGGGACAGGATCCCTCCTGACAACCGCAGCCACAGGTACTGGCCTGGAGTGCCCGGTCCTGCGTCCCCACCGAGCCTCCACTGGGGGGCGCCCTGCAGGAAGGAGCGGGCAGCTCCCCACCAGACCCTACCTTTTTCGTCAGTGCCTTGGGGAGGGTTCCAAAGTGGGGTTCGGCTGCTCTGTCCACAGGGTTGTTGATGTCCGAGGGGACGGATTCTGTCCTCCGAAGCCTTGTTACTGTGGAAAAGGGAGGAAACCCATCAGCAGGGTCACACCACGCTAGGGAAGGTTCCAGACCCCTGGAGGGAGAGGGGAGAGGGCAGGGCACTCACGTGGGAGGAAGGATATTCTACAGGCCGGGGCTTCTTTTGTGCACTTGTTGTGACACTTCAACCTGGTAAAGGGGGCAGAGTCAGAGCTGGGAGGGCGTGCACGTCATCAGAGCAGCTGTGTAGCTCTCACCCCCACTGCCTCAGTTTCCACAAACTTCTCAACAAACATTAGCTCCAAATTTACAACACTCCACCTTAACAGCAGCTGCCACCACTTGCAGCCTGCCATGTTCTGCAGTCCCCTACCTGGTCCTCACGGCCCCTGTGACTCACCGCAGGTCACACATGTATTCCTCCCATCTAAAGAGAGGATGACCTGCCACCCAGCTTCAGAAAGCTTGAGGCAAATCTGAACTTACAAAACACAAATGAGAATGTTTGCATTATCCAAAGGCCCCAGGGGTCCCAAGGGCAGTCCCTGGACTCAGGCCCCTGCTGTGTGGCCTAAGGGTCAGCTCCCAGCTCAGCAATGAAAAGAGCTGGCTGCTTCTCTGGGTTCTGCTGGTTGCACCCAGCCTCAGTGCTCTCATCAGTTAAAATGGGCTGACAGCTGGTGCCCTACAACCTTACACTGCTGCCACAGGGCAGTGTGGAGTTTGGGGTCATCCAGGGCTCTCCACACAGAACATGTAGGGGAGCTGGAGGTCCCCCATTTAAAGCCAAGGATAGGGAACAGTGTGGGTTGAGCCGTGGGTCATCGGCTGTCCACTTGTCCTTCTTTCCCACTAGAAACTACAATGCTAGGAGAAAATAAAGCTGGTTTTGTACAGAATCTACATTCTCTTCTCACTCTTGCCCACTCAGAAGCCAACTCTGTTTTTACCCCTGCCTGCCGGTCTCCGACCCCTCATGAGCTGAAGTGAAAGGCTGAACTTCAGAACTCCCTACAGTTCCCAGAACAGGCCCAACTTTCCTCCCGGACTCTGGATTCCTTCTCCCCTAGTCTAAATGCTAAACTTCTATTCATCCTTCAAAGCCCACCTCAAATACCCACTTCTTGTAGGGGTGCCTCACTTCAATTCCCCTAGGGAGGCCTGGTGTGCTGAATGGGATTATGGGTAGCAGGTTATAAGGAACTCTTGACCTCGGACTTGACCTCAGGTCAAGTATCAGGACTGCTCCTGAACTCCAAGCGTTTCTCCCTCCCACCCTCCGCCTTCACCTGCAGTGCTTGCACTTCACTCCAAACATCATGCTCTTCTGGCACACGTGGCAGACCTGCGACAGCCAGGACTTGGTAGAGAACCTGTAGCGGGTGGACACAGAGGGGTTCCCAGGGCTGCATCCCAGAGCCCCAGGAAACCTCTCCCAGAGGCCACCACTCCCTCCCCACCAGGCAGATTTCCCAGCCACAAAGTCACCAGTGTCCATGTTTTCCAAATGGTGCGGTCACTGGTGCTGAATTTGGCAAGAACAATCAAAATCACCCATGGGCTTCTCCTTTGAGCTGGCAACTGGGTCCTAGGAATTTACCAACAGAGCCTCCCCCAGGTATCAAATCAGCAAGGCCTCTCTGCAGTATGAATACAGCAGGAAGACCAGAAATGACCTACGGCCATCACCAGTGACTGACTAAAGCAGGCTCCGGCCATACAAAAGAACACTACATGGGGCTGGGGCTGGGGCTGGGGCTGGGGCTGGGCTGGGGCACAGCGGTACAGCGCTCGCCCAGCACATGTAAGGCCCTGGGTTCGATCCTCAGCACCACATTAAAAATAAATAAACAAATGAAAAGACATCATCAAGAATATCTCAAAGGATTGAATTTATATAGAATATTGTCCCTTTAAAAAAAAAAAAAAAAGAACACTGCAGCCAGAAAATAAAACTAGGAAACTCCTTTTGTGCAAATAGAGAGCAAGCTTCAAGTCACATCATCCACTGATAAAATTAAGGTCTAATATCATTTAATGTTAATATGATTCCATTAATACAGAGTTCCAGCACAGGAAAAACGCATCTATGACGGTAGCCACGAGTAGTGATTGCTCAGTGGTGACATTATCAATTGGGAAGAGCCAAAGCAAACTTTTTGGTGTGCTGGAATTCCTGTATCTGCATCTGCCTGGTCTCAACAGGGTCTATGTACATAAATGCACATGTGCATTTTGCTCTAAATAAATTATGTAATTTTTAAAAAAATATTTTTTTTAGTTGTTGATAGACCTTTTTAAAATTTATTTATACACAGTGCTGAAAATCGAACCCAGTGTCTCACACATGCCAGGCAAGTGTGCTACCACTGAGCCCCAGCCTCAGCCCCAAATTACGTAATTGTAAAAGGAAAAAAAAGCAAAGTACAAAATAGTGTGTATAATATATATTATTTGTGTAAAATAAAAAGCAAAAAACCAAATATACATATTTGGTAATTATAAAATCTCTCTAGGAGATAGATACAAAAGAAATTGGGGAGCCAGGAACAGGGGTGAGGGAGGACTTTTCTGTCTTCCTTTTTAAACCTCTTAGATTTTGAATACATGAGTGCCTTTTCAGCCCCAAGTTTAAAACATTGAAAAACAAATGGTAGCCTAGAAGGCAGGATGCGGTTGGAGCAGGTGGAATCCTCCAGAAAAAGACACTAGGCCAGCTCACAGTGGGGGGAGACCGAAGAGCAGACAGATCTTTCGTTTTTGGAGGAATGTGAGTAGTATCGTGTCTGCTGTGTGTCCTTGAATGTCAGCTCACTTGGTCACTATGACCACCCCTAGGAGTTAGGCAGGCCCAGGATTCTTAGTACACAGGCCAGAAGCCAGCTTGGACAGGTAGGTGACAGGCCTGGCCTCCCTGTTCATGGGTGCCCTGGACCCTGCTGCCCAGGCTATGGGTACAGATGTCCCAGCTCTGACAAGGGTCCACGCAGAGGTCTCTGGACTCAAGCTCTGTCTTACTAAGTGTGACCTCAGACATGGTGCTTAATCCTGGGGACTTGCAGTTGCCCTCTGGGAGACGACAGGCCCTGGCAAGGGGCAGTACCCTTGAGAGCATTCCCTATCACGCTTACAACAGCCTTTAACAGGGACAGCCAGAGCATGGGCGTCCCAAGACAGTGTCCTGCTGGCCACCCAGGGGCCATGAGATACCACCCAGACCTTTGGGGCCTGCACACACAGCCTCAGGAGCATTGAGGCCAAAACCTCTGGACAGTCTACATCATGGGCCCACATCAGCCCTCTTCTACGTTTGTGAGCTCCAGTTACCGAAAGTTAAAAATCTAGATGAGGAGCAGGCCTGGGAATGTGGATTTCCTGCAAGCTCCACAAAGCTCCTGGTGGGTGGCCAGCCCAGGACCTCACGACGTCACAGGGTGTGGAAGAGGCTCTCGGCTCCTCCTTCCCACAACTTGGCCCTATTCATCCTGGCACCCATGTCTTGGGAAGGGAAGAGGGCACTTTCCCTCAGCAGAGTGGGAAAGAGACACAGGAGGGGCAGGGGAGGCCCAGCAAGTCCATATGGCTGGTGATGAGGTGGGTGCAGGTTTGTGTCACTCAAGGAGACAGGCAGTCAGGCTAGGGGCAAAGTACCCTAGGCCAGGACAGATGCCCCTGTCAGTGGGCCTCCCAGCACCCTCTGGTCCCAGCCCAGCTCTGCACCCCTCCCTACTGGACTCACCTATGTGTCACCGAGAGGCCGATGTCCCTTCGTACCATCTGTGGGGATCCATGTGGAAGATCTGCAGGGAAAGAAGTCAGGTTGGGCAAGCTGAGGAAGCTCTGCCTATGACCTTGCAGTTCAGAGGTCGCGGGCCAGAGGGGATGCTAGGTGTCACACAGTAGAGCAATGCTTACCTGAACCAACACCTATCAAGATAGGGACAGGCCACCTAGGCCAGGGGACGGATGCCACCTCCCTCATACTGGGCTTATTCTCTGGTGGAAGCTGCCACCTGTCTCTGCAGTGCTCAGCCTGTGTCCCCGTGGGGTCAGCCTTGAAGGCAGGAGGTTAAGCACAGGTGGAAGTGGAAGCTTGACCTTGACCTTGGGTGGAGGCCACACGGTTAGCTACAGGGAGGCCCCTCAGCTCAGCCTGTACCCTTCTTCCAGAGGCACCCTGAGCACACTCCTGAGAGCCACCCTTGCCGGAATCAGACAGGAAGAGCGAGGACAAGATGAAGCCCCATGTGGCCAACCCCACTGGGGCCCTACCTTCTGAGCTCTGGGGACATCTCAGGTACCCTCTTTCCTTGGTGAGAGAAGGGCCACAGGCTCTGAATGCCCCTCTGCTTGCCTCCACAGAGGACATCCTGGGGACGCCTCTCCTGATCTGAGCTCCCCTAAGAACCAGTGTTTAAGGCCTGGTGGGTCTGGGTCACTGAAGGCTGCCCTGCATACAGCTGGTGCTCATTAAGTGCCAATCCTTCTCACACTAAGGGAATTTTGATGGGGACAAAAGGCTGAAGATCAGGGACATCACGATCCTATCACCTGGGGCTCTCTGGCTCATCTGCCACGGGGCTGATGCCTCTCAACTCCCCCCTGGGTCCTTCCACACCCTGGGTCCCATGAGAACCCAAGGCTGTCAAAACACAGGCTATAGGAGGGGCTGGTGGCCAGCCTGAGAGACAGACAAGGGGCAACTGAGTCTTCAACTATCTGGCTCCGAATGCAACCTGTGGTTTGTACCACTGGCCACAGGTGGGGGACAGGGACATGAGATGGCATGCATCCCAGGCGTCCCTGCTCCTAATCTGGATGGGACTACTGGCCCTGAAGGCCTAATAGCCTTGCTTCTGTGGTTCCTGTGTTACCCCAGCAACAGGAAGATGACAGGGCCCAGGCTGTCTGGGGACGGGACTCACTGGACGTTTCTCTGAGTTTTCTTAAGGGTCTGGGGGCTCCTGCGTGTTCCCTGGGGACAGGGACATGCAGGTTCTCTCCTTTCATATGCCCTGCCCCTGGGGCTCCAGCAGTAGCTCCCTGCAGCTCTGTCACTGCCTCCTCAACCCTGCCTCCTCCTGGGGCCCTTCCTGCCCTCAAGTCGCTCTCCTTAGCCAGCTAAGGATGGTAAGAAAAGAAACTTCTATTTCATTCAAGCAAAACCAGGCACCCCTGCATTTCCACTCAATTAAAAGCAGATGCCAGGCATGGCCGACTCCCTGGCTCTGCCGTGCGAGAGGCCCTGCAGGACATGCCAGATTCTGTGCCCAACCTGGAGGTGGAGGGGCGGAAAAGGGGGTCCAGGGTTGTCTGGTCTTCCTCCTCCCCTCCTGGGAGGACATCAGCACCCTCCAAGTCCGAGTTGCCTCAAGCAATGTCCCTCTCCTGGAGAGTGGGGTCCTGAGACACCAGCCAGGGCTTTGAAGACAGCTCACGTCCACCTGAACCTGGCCAATGGCACCTCCCTCCTCTATCATAGCAGCCCAGAGAGCAAGTGTCCACCACAGAGGTCACTGCAAGGATAGCAGGGTGGAGACAGGACTCGTCACTGGACTGTGGAGGACTGTGACACTCTTAGAGCCCCTACTTCTCAGAGAGCAGCCACTGGCTGGGCTAAGGCCCGCCCATCATTTTTTATTTTTGCCCCCATAACTGGGGACTGAGCCCAGGGCACTCTACCAATGAGCTCTACGCCCCAGAACTTTTTCTTTTTTCTTTTCTTTTTTTTTTTTTTTAAGGATGTAGTAAGAGGGAAAGAAATTGTACGTGGAGGTTAGCTAGATGGGGAGTGCGGGATGAGATGTTTAAGAAAGAGACTAAGTTGCCCAGGCTGGCCTTGAACTTGTGAGCCTCCTGCTGCTGCTTCCTATGTGGCTGGGATGACGGGCCTGTGCCACCACGCCCAGTTCTCAGCCACTCATTTTAAGGCCACCTGTCTTGTAACTACTCCCTGCAGTGGTTCCCAGTGCCAGTGCCTCTGGACTATGGAAAGGCCAGGAAGGTTAAGAGAGGGTCAGAGACGTCCACCCCCGATGGGGACAGCACCACAGACACGACTCCAGGTGGCAGAAGGGATGAAAATGAATCACTCTTACCAAACCTGGAGGAGACAAAAAGGAGAGAGAAGGATTATGTCACCACACCAGCTCAGCATGTCCCTAGAACACCACCCCTGGGGAGGGAGCAGGCCAGGGGCTGGGACAAGCGACAGAGGCTTGGCTTGGGGCCAGGCTGGCTGAGTGACTGTGGGAATTGCTGCATGCTCTGTGGAAAGAATGTGTCCTCGATAAGAAGGGCCAGGAGAGCACTCCTGGGGACACTAAAACACCACCTTGTGCTGGGCACTCTAATGTGTCAGCTTCACGAAGCCTCGTCAGCATGGGACAGGCCACCCCAGCTCATAGCTGAGGAACCGAGCTTCATGGAGTCTTAAGTCACATGACCCCTAAGCTGGGACGGTCTGCTGGCCAAGTTGTGGCTAGGAAAGAGGACAGGAATAACAGCTATGCAGAGCAGGAAGGTGGCCCCCAAGAAGGGCCAGGGGGGAACATACTCTGAGCAATGCCTCCTGTGGGACTGCCATTGCCCCCAGGGATGCAAGGAGCTGGGGGGAAGGAGGACATTGCATCTACCCTCCGGGCTCACCAAGGTGGCCTGAGCATCCGTGTCAGTGCTGGTTCTGGTGGCCAGGGGAGGGTGGCTGAACTCAAGACTCCTAGGATCTAAGGTCAGTGATGTCACTGGCCTGACGCCCTGCACCCCACTGTATCAGAGGAACAGGATCAGGGCCTCCTAACCCTCTTCTCAGGAGAACATGAGAAATGAGCTCTGGCTTGAGTCCACCGTGAGGCCCCTCTGCCCACGTGGTAGTTACCACTGTGCTCCTCAGCCACATCTGCAGGGTACCCAGGCCCTGCAGGGCAGCCTGCTCAGTAGCAGTAGCATAGGGAACACGTGATTTCTCTGGTGCATTGAAAATCATCAGAGCTCTCCAGGGTCCATCCCTGCGTCAGGATAGGGAGAGCAAGCCCCACTCCACTGCCCACGATAGAACAGGGCCTGAGGAACCTTCTAGAAAAGGGGTGCCTGTGCCAAGGAGAGAAGCCAGGTGCTTCAGCTCTCGGGGGTACAAAAAGTTAAGAGGGACCCAAAGAAAACAGCCCTTTTCCCCTCGGTCCTTCCTGCCCACAAAGGCATATGGACAGGAGTGGGTTTTAAAATAGCTAAAAGGAGAGTGATCTAAAGGTCCCTCAAAAGAGGACAAGTTAGAACTGTGCATTACAGACAAGGTTTTTGAAACAAGGTCATATGAATTATGACAGCTAATACGTACAACTGACAACCTGCTGGGTCCCTGAAAGAGGAGCCAGGCTACTCAGTAAAAATGGTGGGAGTGGGCTGGGGTTGTGGCTCAGTAGTAAAAGCACTTGCCTGGCATGTGTGGGGCACTGGGTTCAATTCTCAGCACCATGTATAATAAATAAGTGAAGAAAATAAAGGTCCATCAACAATTAAAAATATATATTTAGAAAAAAAATGGTGGGGGTGCACTTTACCACGCACCCCTGAGTGACAGATGGACATGAGGCCATAGTGCTACTGCATTTTTGGATCATGTGACTACCACTTCTTCAAAATACACAGAAATAAAAATAAATAATAAAGATATTTGAGCCAAATATTCTAGTTCTCCCCTTCTGGGCACATAAGAGAACTGCATCGTTTGATTACCTTGTTTGGGAAAACTATGGATGGCAATGACTTCTAGGAAACGGTATAGCTATCTCTATCACAGAGAATTGGCTCAGGATTGATTCCAAGACCTCCTCATGGATATTAAAATCCATAAATGCTCAATAAAATGGCATAGTATATATATATATATATATATATATATATATATATATATATATATATATATCTCCTATGTACTTTTTTGGTGGTGGTGGGGTTACTGGGGATTGAACACAGTGCTACTGAGCTACATACTCAGTTCTTTTTATTGTTTAATTTTGAGACAAGTTCTGGTTAAGTTGCTGAGATTGGCCTGGAGGTTGTAGGTCTCCTGCCTTAGCCTCCTGAGTTGCTGGGATGACAGGAGCACCATGACACCTAGCTTAACCTATGCACTTTTTCCTGTATACTTTAAATCATCTCTCGATTACTTATCATACCTCATACAACTACAAGAAAAAAAGTCTATACATGTTCAGTACACACACAACTATCACAGGTTTAACTACATACTATACATTAGCAACAAGATAAGTTTCTTCTTCTCAACATTTTCAATCCCACATTGGTTGGATCAGATGTAAAACTCTGGGATGCAGAAATCCAACTGTACTTAATTGCCAGTGCACAACATCTAGAATGCACTTTTTTCATGGCTATAGTGGCCTGCCTGTGACCTGGAAGGAGACTGACCCAAAATGGACCAGTAGTACAAATGAGAAATAAACGTTTGCTGTTTGAAGCCCTGGAGATTTGGGGGCTGTTTGTTATTGCAGCCTAACTCAGCCTACCCTGACTGATACACGGCACTATCTCATTTGTGTGTATATGTAAAGAAAAAAATCTAGTAGGCTTCAATCCAAACTGCTAATCTAGTGTGAGGGGACAGACTGAGAGATGCCGGTACCTTCCGCTTTTAAATTTATACCCTTCTCTGTTGGTTGGTTTTCTCTGTCCACAGTTCAAACTCACCTCATTGGGGAGACCTCGTCGATGCGGTTCCCCAGCTGAGACTCGTGGGACTTGCTCCGGGTGAGCGTGGGGAAGCTGGGCAGCAGCTGGAAGACCTTGCGGCTGGGCGGCGGGGGTGTCCGCGGTGGCTTCAGCTTGGCATGCCGTCGCAGCTGGGGCGTGGTGGGCGGGGTGATGAAGCTGTGCAGGGCGCGGGGCGTCAGGCGGCCGCTGGCGTGCAGGGGGATACAGGTGTCCGAGAGGCCCTCCCCAAGGCCAGGGGCTGGCGAGTCCAAGGCAGGCAGCGCTGACACGGAGATGGAGCGAGGGCCCTGGCCACTGCTGCCCACTCGGCCCAGCTGCGAGCTCCCCGGTGGCCAGGGCAGGCTGGCAGGTGGGAGGGTATCCGCGCAAGGGCCTGAACTACTTTCTCGCCGAGCATCCAACGAACTCCAGCCTGAGTCCTCTTTGTGCTCACCTCCTGTGGGCCAAGGAGTCGAGTCACACCCAGCTGGGGACAGAAGGGATTTACAGATCCAACAGCCAGGGTCTGGAGAGGCTGGCACTTGTCTGAGGTGGCATCAGTCCTCAGTGGAAGGCTCCAGCCCCCACCTTACCTGGCTTCCGAGGGCCTCCTACCTCCTCACAGCACTTTCAGCCTGAAGCTGCCAACTGGAAATTGCTGTCTGCGCTGTGCCCAGGGGAAACAGGCCCAGAGATGGAAGGACTTGTGCAGGGATCTTACTGTCTGTCGCATCTAGGGGCAGCAAGCTGGGAACCAACCCTACCTTAGAAAAGAAAGCCGGGGGTGTAGAGGGAAGGGCAGGGTGGTCCATTCATCCCAGCACTGTGCTGGCTGCTGGGTTTAAAGGTGCAGAAAAAGACAACCCAAGTTTGGAGAGGCCAGCAGGGGTGACAGACATGCAACACAGCGTGCTGTGAAATGGGACAGGGATGTACGGCATTCTATGTGGGAGAAGGATGCTCCGTCTGCCTGAGGGTGAGGGCTGAGCAGGCGGGTGAGGGTTTACCAGGCCGAGGGGAAGGCCAATGCAGAGGCACCCGAGGACTGCCACCTTCCCATGTAACTGCAGAGTCCCGTGTGCCCAAGAGCTCCGGATGAGCCCAGGAGGGGTAAGGGATGCAGATGGAGGGGTCAGCCCAGCTGGGGCCAGCTCTGGAAGGCCCCAGATGTCTTGCTAAGGACTTTAGGTTTGATCCAATAGGAGATGGGGAGAACTGAAGGGTCAAGGGCAGGGGGGCAAATTCAAGAGGCTCTCAGAGAAAAGAGAAGGTACTTCTCTCTCCACATGAGCAAATGGGAGGACAGGAAGGGGGACCTTGGCTCAAGACCGAATGAGCTTCCACGTGGAGACTTTTCACAATGTGCTGCACCCACCCCCTTCCCCTGGTCCTCCCCGCAGTGCTCTCCTCACCCTGGTGTCCAGGGGAGGTCCCTATGATTGATTTAGAGAGGCCACGGACACCGAGCAAGGTCAGACAGCTATGAAAGTGGGGGGATGGGAGCTGAACCCCTTGATCTTGACCACACACCACTCCTTTACCACAGCGCTGGGGAGGCTGGACACAGCGGAAAAGCGTTGGAGGCAATGAGCTCTCGGTCCTCAGAGGTGGTCAAGCCTCGTCCACATGGCCCCCTGTGGCTTGGGGGTGTTGCTTTCACAATTCATAGTTTCTTAGTGAGTTTCATCACCTTTGCAAAGAGCCTGCCTGCCCCCCACCCTCCGCCTTCACAGTATGACTTTTCAGTCATGAGTCACTTGGTGTTATGGTTTAGACATTAGTTGTCCCCCAAAAGCTCATGTGAGGCAATGCAGGAAGAATTAGAGGTGAAATGATGGGGTTATGAGAGCCTTAATCTAATCAGTGCGTTCACCCACTAGCAGGGATTAACTGAATGGGACTGAAGGCAGGTAGGGTGTGGCTGGAGGAGGTGGGTCACTGAGGGCCTGACTTTGGCGTATGTTTTATCCTGATGAGGACAGCTCTCTCGCTCTCTGCTTCCTGGTGCCATGTTTCCTCCACCACACTCTTCCACCTTGGGTCCTCCCATCAGGATCCAAAGAATGGCGCTGGCCATCTATGGATCAAGACCTATGACACTGTGAGCCCCCAAATAAACTTGTCCTCCTTAAAACTGTTCTTGTCAGGTCTTTTGGTTGTAGCAGTGAAAAAGTTGACTGAAACAACGGGGCAGAATGAGTTAGCCTTTCGGTTGTCGTGGGGCTTGGTCCTTTAGAACTGCTGCTGAGGCGAAGGCTGAGCCTATCTGCTGGCCTAGTGGAGGCGACAGGCACATGTATCTTGTTGAGAGGATGAAAAAATAAGTCCCATGAATCTATGCACAAGTCTGCCACCAAAGGAGACAAACTCCAAATTCTTCAAATTGCCTATTTAATCACCACCTCCTTGGATCACTATTAGGGATATGAAGGGCAACACCAGTCAATTGGCAGTGGGGCTGCTTGAGAATGACCAGAGTCACTCAATAGAAGAGTTGGTGGATTGATTAGTCATGTCTGCCGTGGACACAGCATGGGGCAGATGGGCAGGAATGATCATTCTCTACTCACCAGCATAGAGAATTACCCTTCACTCGCCTAAAACGATACCACAAGGGACATGATATTAACATTTTCCTCCATCACTCCACAGGTCTAACTCTGGAAAGGGAATCTAAACACATCTCCTTAACTAAGTTCATCTTCACAACAACCCTATGAGCAAGGGGCTGCTGCTACCTATTATCTCCAGTGTAGACGGGGAACCTGAGGCACAGTGAGGTTAAATAAGTGAACAAGGAGCATGAGTTGTAAGTGGCCATGCAGAGGCTACTTGGATTTCATGGCTCATTTTTACTGGGACTACCTCTGAATGCATGACCTTATCAAGTGGCATTCTTGGCACCCATGCAATCCCCCTCCCCCTGCAAGTGCTAGCGAAGTACAGTCACAAGCAGGCAGACACAGGCCCCCATTCTGGGCACATCCCAGCCCAGGATGCAGGGGTCTAGATGAGACTGAGTGAAAGAAAGAACCTGCAAAAGGTCCAGGTAAGAGATGGGGAGAACTGAAGGGTCAAGGACTCCCCATCCAGAACAAAAGGG